CATAAGCCATGTGGTGAGCAGGCATTCACACACACACACACACACACACACACACACACACACACACACACACAGAGACAGAGAGAGAGAGAAAGAGAGAGAGAACTTCCTGGCCAGCACCTGTCACACTGAGTGCCTTTGTGCTGCAGGGACACAATTATACACACACATTTTAATCTTGGAAGCAATTGTTTGGAAGTTATATTAAGTCTGAATCTTGATGACAGGACTGAAATAGAACTTAAAGCAAAAATGTAGAGAAAAAATTTATATGTAGTTGCTTAAAATTATTTTTTGTTTCCCATTTTATAAAGACATATTCTGTTTTTAAATTAAACATTAATTTGGGGGCTGGCAAGATGGCTCAGAGGTTAAGAGCACTGGCTGCTCTTCCAGGGGTCCTGAGTTCAATTCCCAGCAACCACAAGGTGACTCAAAACCATCTATAATGAGATCTAGTGCCCTCTTCTGTCATGTAGGTGTACATGCAGGCAGAACACTGTATATAATATAAAACATTAGGGCTGGAGAGATGGCTCAGAGGTTAAGGGTACTGGCTGCTCTTCTAGTGCCCACATGATGGCTCACAACCATCTACATGCCAGAACACTGTATACATAATAAATAAATAAATAAATCTTTAAAGAAAGCTTTAAAAAAACATTAATTTGGTGGGATTGGAGAAATGGCTCAGTGTATCACTGAGTCTGGTTAGTGCTGTCTGTCTGCTGGGATGTTGATTGATTTTGTAGCCTTTTTTTAAAAAAAATTTTTTTATGTCTAGTGTTGGGGATTAATCCTAGGGTCTCACCCACGTGGACAAACAGTACCACTGAGCTGCATTCCAACCTCCCACTATCAACTTACCATCTCTTCCATGCCTCCAATTTAAATGCTTAGCATCTGGATGATTCAGCTAAATAATGCTTTTCCTGTTTAGGCAGTTTTCCTGGCAAGTCACCCAATAGGCCATGGAACACTTATGTCAAATGTGCTCACAGGGATAGCATCAGAATACACATGGCTATTTATCTATGGCAGCTGTCTTCCTAGCAAGTGACTAGAATAGCCTCTCTGACTCTGCAAGTGGATGGCTTAACCTGGCCTCCACACATGATAAACATGCTTATTGGTGGCTCATTCTTTTCTTTTCTTTTTGTGACAGTCTTAAGTTTTCCTAGCTGGCCTCAAATTCACTTATTTTTAGTTTATTTTTTACCCAAGACAAGGTTTCTACATGTAACAGCTCTGGCTGTCCTGGAACTCACTTTGTGGACCAGGCTGGCCTTGAACTCAGAGATTCACCTGCTTCTGCTTCCCAAATGCTGGGATTTATGGCATGTGCCACCACCACTAGGCTTCTGTTTTTCTGATGGCCCCATTCTTTTTATTTTTCTGTAAATTCAGAGTTCTACAAGGTGGCTTCATTGACAACTCTGTTCACCATGGTTTCCATTCATGCTACAAGAAAGCAACCTGCTTTCTTTCCTTTGGTTGGGTAGTTACCACTCAGCAGTCTTGAGAACTGGTCCAATGGTTTTTAGTTTAATTATTTTATTATTTTCCATGTGTATGGGTGTTCGGTCTGCATGTGTGCCTGTATACCACATGGGTGTCTGTTGTCCACCCATCATGGTCTGGACCCTCCGCCACTGGTCACTACATGAGAAAATGCCTTACAGCTGGATCTCACTGAGGCACTTCTCAATTGAGGCTCCTTCCTCTCTTATGACTGTATAGCTTTCGTCAAGTTGACACAACACCACCCAGTACTACCACCCCACCCATTCTACCCCCATGAAAAGAAAAAAAGGAAACTGAAGAGTTTGTATTTTTTTTTCTTTCTTTTTTGCGACAGGGTTTCTCTGTGTCACAGCCCTAGCTGTCCTGGAACTCATTTTGTGGACCAGGCTGGCCTTGAACTCACCTGTAGAATTTCTTTTGGCTTACAGTTGATGAGTACAGTCCATCATGGCAGGGGAATCACAGTTACAGGAACTTAAGGCTGCTGGTTGGATATATGACATCCGCAGCCAGGAAGCAAAAAACCATGAATGCTAGCAATCAGCCTTTCTTTATTCGATCTAAACTTGAACCCATGTGTGGTGAAATATTATTTATGATTTATTAAAGTTTGCCTGAGGATTCAGAAAGCAATCAGCCACATGCCATAGAAGCCAGCCACACACCTTTAATCCCAGCAGCCAGAAGCTTGGAAGTGGTGGTACACATCTTTAATCCTAGGTTTTAGGATTAAGAGATAAACCGATCTCTGTGAGACCAAGGCCACCCAGATCTACACAAAATTGAATCAGCCTAAATGAGAAATAGCTCACACTTTAATCCCAACATTAGGAAGTATATAAGACAGAAGCAAGGTCTCAGGGATTGATTCATTATCCAGCCACACTAAGGAGAGGTTACAGTCTGAGGCTTGGTGAGAGCTCATGGAGACAGGATCAAACCACTCAGCCTGAGCTAGAGGCAAGAAGCTAGAGATCAGCTGCTTTGCCTTTCTGATATTCAGCTTGAAGTTTGAACCCCAATATCAGTCTCTGAGTCATTTATTTGTCCATGTTACACCCATAGAATGGTGTCACCAACGTTTATATGTGGGTCTTCCTACCTCAGTTAACCAACCTGGGAAACCAACCTAGGTAATCCCTCCTAAGCATGCTATGAAGCTGGGACACCAGGTGAGTCTAGATCCTAGTTTCTCTATAATAACCATCACACTGGGTAAACTTAAAGAACAAATGTCAGCCAGGCAGTGGTGGCTCATACGACTTTAATCCCAGCAATCAGGAGGCAGAGGCAGGTGCATCTCTGAGTTTGAGGCCAGCCTGCTCTACAGAGTGAGTTCCATGACAGGCTCCAGAGAAACCTTGTCTCGAAACACCAATAAATAGATAAAATTTCTTTTTAGATTAATGTGTATGAATGCTGAATGGCAGAGATCAGAAGACAGCAACATTGATTATTCCCTGAATTGCAGATAAAGATTGTGAGCCAACACATAGGTGCTGGGATCTGAACCTAGTTCCTGTGCAGGAGCAACGAGTGTTCTTAACTGTTGAGCCATGCCTCCCGCTACTACAACCATCTTTTTATTTATGATTTTCAAGGCAGTGTTTCTCTCTAGCCCTGGCTTTCGGGGACTTGCTCTATGGACCAGGCTGGCTTTAAACTCAGAGATGCACCTGCCTCTGCCTCCTGAGTGCTGGCATTAAAGTCATGAGCCACCACTGCCTACCTTATTTGTTTTTTGATTATTATTTACATTTATTTATTGTTTACATGTGTGCATATAGGTTAACTTGAGCGTATCCCATAGTGCTCAGATTTTGGGAGTTTAGTCTCCTCTTCTACCAGGTGAGTTCAGGGGTTGAAATAAGGTTGTCATGGATGGCAGTCACCTTTATCTGCTTGACCCATCTTACTGGTCCCTGAGGACTTATTTAACTAGTGGAGAGATGACTCAATTAAAGGCACATGCTATTCTTGCAAAAGACCCTGGTTCACTTTCAAGTCTACAAGATGGCTCACAACCATCTCTAGTTTCAGTTCCAAGGGATATGATGTCATCTTTTGTCCTATACTGGTACCAGGCATGGAATGTGGTACACATCCATTTCTTAAAAGGTATTTATAAGCTGGTAGATGGTGGCACACATCTTTGATCCAGCAGTTGGGCAGCAGAAGCAGGCAGATCTCTGTCAGTTTGAGGCTAGCCTGGTCTATAGAGGGAGTTCCAGGACAGCCAGAACAGAAAAACCCTATCTCAAAAAAAAAAAAAAAAAAAAAAAAAAAAAGCCCTCCCCCCAAAGGGTACATAGTGATTTGAGAGGATTTCAATGTTTATGCTTGTGGTTGTAAAAACAAACATTTACAAAATATAAATAGCATTTAATGAGGATTTTTTTTTTTTTTTTTTTTTTTTTTTGGAGACAGGGTTTCTCTGTGGAACTCATTTTGTCCACTAGGCTGGTGATCTCACAGAGAGCTGCCTGTCTCTTCCTTCTGAGTGCTGGGATTAACAGCATGCACCAACAACTGCCCAGCTCAAATTTTTATTTAACAAATACTGAGTACTTGCTAAATTCCAATCACTATTCAATGCACTGTAGCTACAGTAGCTACAAGATCTGTGCTCTCTTTATGTGTACATTCTAGTGTGGAAGGATCAGGTGGACCATAAATTGAGACATATTAGTATGGCAGACGGTGATACATACTAGAATAAAACTATGAGAATTTGGGTGTGGTGGCACATGCCTTTAATCCCTGCACCTGTGAAGAGGCTGTCGGATCTCTCAGGCAGTCCAGCCTGGTCTATGTAGACTCAGTCTAAAAACAACTAAGGAAGACAACAGGCTGAGTATGAATGATAAAGTGGTCAGGGTTTGCTACTTGTTACTCCAGGATGGGACTCCAGTTCTCCCAGGACAGGAATAATTCTCTCTGTACTTTCTGACTTCTTGGCATACCACCAGGCATTCAGAGAAGCAAGATCCCTATGCACAAATTATAAGCCTTCTCAGTAGCAAGCAACAAAGTACTAGATACTGCTTATAAAGTCCATATGTTTAACAACACAGTAATTTGTGAGTGTTCACTTTATTATTATTTTGGTTTTTCCAGACAGGGTTTCTCTGTGTAACTCTGTAGACCAGACTGGCCTCAAACTCAGACTGGCCTCCTGAGAGCTGGGACTAAAGGTGTGCGCCACCACCGCCCGGCATTTTTTTTAAATTTTAATATTCTTTTTATAGTTCGCACACTACGGAAAGTTGTACTAAATATTCTCACAGGCTTTTGAAGCTGTCAAGCATCTAGTTACCTCTGGGATCCTATTACCTCGCTTAAGTTGTAGTGCGTGTAAGCACAAAAAGCCAAAAAACAAAACCACTGTAGCCGTTGTCGGTTATTTCTTGATGTGACCAGTTGTTTTCGAAGGACAAATGACATTTGGGCTTTCTGTTGAGGTTCTCGGTCCCGCCCAGGTGTCAGTTCGTCGAACCTCAAAGACCCAGGAGATCAAGGTTCTAATTCCCAGAAAACGAACCACCAAAAAGTGAGAAATCCTCTAACAAACCCCGCGCGGGTAACCAGCCGGAACCTTGACCTCAAGATGGCGTCGCGCAGTCATCATAAGATTTCAATCGGCTCCAATCAAAAATGGCAGGGTGGGTCGTAATTTACAGCTCGAGCCTCTCTAGGTCCCACTAGGCGCTCCTTCTCTATGGTTATTCTTCTGTGCGTAGCGAGTCAGAGGCAACAGTGGAGACTATCTATGTACAATCCTCTCTATGGTTTCCCTTTTCCACGCCTCCTGGCGCAGTGCACGCCGGGCAAGAGGAAGACCTCTAGGAGCTCCCCGCGCTGCGCGGCTGTGTTTGCGGCCTATTCGAGTAGGCGCTTCGGACCCGGTCTCTCAGTCCGGCGGCGCGCAGAAACCTCGAACCGGTGGAGCCCACCCGTAACCTGACGCCCAAGAGGCCGCGGAGACCGTACCGTTTCCTCAGCGGCGGGTGAGTTCACGCTTCCGAACGCGTGAGGAAACCGATCCGACCGGGTGGGTACCTCAGCTGCGGGAGGAGGAGAAGCCAGGGTGGCTGCGGAGGGCCGGGTGGGGTGGGGGGGTGAGGGGGTGGGGTGGGGGAGGGGACGGGCACGAGGCTCGGGGCTTCTCCGCTCCTCCAAGGCCTCGAAAAACCAGTGGGACGAGGAGGAGGCCATGGGGGCCCGGCCCCCGTCCCGAGCGCGCCCCCGTGAGCCCCGTGAATTTTTGTCGCCCACTCTCACTGTTGCTGCACGTTGCGCCTGGGTGTGAGTCGCCTCGGCCCTGACGGGGCTCGGTGTTAGCCGCGGCTAGGATCGGTCGGCCTGGAGGCCCTTTTCTCATCGGGCCTCCAGGTCCGCTCGTCGGTAGATTTCCGGGGCCGAGGGCTCACGGGCCTCACGGCTGCGTCTTTAAGCTGGCCTGCGCCCACTCTTTCTGCGAGGGGGCTGGCCGCCAACGAACTTGTCCCTCTCCGGCCCTCCGGTGCCGGCCGCCAGAAGAAGGGGCCCCACCCCTCCTTGAATTCAGCGAGCGCCCACTTTTTGGTTTTCTGAAGCACCTTTCCGGTTTGCTGAAGACGGGGATGAGCTTTGCCGTCCTGTCGTCTTTCCGTTTGGACGGATGCTGTAGCTCTCCATTCATTCTAGGCAGCGCCAACCTTCATATTAAAATGTAGTACCATCCTTTTGTTTTCGGTATTGATTTTTTAGATACCCTTCTCGAAACAAGGTTTGAAGGTTATCTTGAAGTTATGTAATAGATTAATATTGACGTGAAAATGCCATGTTGATACAGGGCAGAATAAAGCGTGACCAAAAGGAGGGAAATGGATTGGGTTTCTCACGGCATTACGTTCTTTTAGAATTGAAATACAGGGTAGCAGGTAGCTGGCAGTACTGTATAGACAGTTTCTTTTTCTTTTTTTGTATTGCCTGCGACTACCCTCTCCAATTTCCTTTAAAAAAATGATTTTTAAAAAACATTTTAGACTTGAAGAATGTCACAAATAAGCCTGTATATAGAACTAGGAATGGTTGACAGCTTAAAGCAGGAGTCTTCTCACCAGGAATGTAATTTTGTGAGAAGTTTAATTTTTTTTTAAAGGCCATTCCAAAAATATTGAGAGGTCTCAAAAGGATTCAGTTGCTCAGTTCTTGTAATACAAGCAGACAATGTGCTTTTTTTATTTGTTTTTTTTTTTTTTTTTTTCTAGATAGGGTTTCTGCTGGGATTAAAGGCATGCACCATGGCCCAGCAATATGTTCTTATTACTAAAATTTTTAAATTTTGATTTTCTTCATCAGTAAAATGAGTTATATTACAATCTACTTCACAGATTGGACTTGGGGGACCGAAGAAATGTATGTAAAATGCTAACTAAAGTGTTCCTATAACATGATGCTGGTTTATACTTGTAAATGTTACTTAAGAGCTAAATTGAGAAGGTCCAAAACCTTTTTACATTTCTTCTTGTGTACTTGGACTAGATTTAAATAGTTCTAATCTTTTTTTTCCTCTGGTTCTATTAATTCTTAAATTCCTTTCTTTCTCATTGGTATGTTAGGGAATTGAGACCTTGTAGTAGACTGAAAGCAGTCTTTGAATTGGTAATTTCAGGACAGTGGGGAACCTTGGAGTCCCCACCTACTTCCTATGTCCTGAACAAATTCACTTCTTCATCCACAAAGACAGTAACAATTAGCCCAGCTGCATGCCTTTAATCCCAGCACTCAAGAAGCAGGGTCAGGAGGATTTCTGTGAGTTTGAAACCAGCCTGGTCTACAGATCAAGTTTTAGAACAAGCTCCAAAGCTACACAGAGAAACCCTGTCTGGAAAAACGACCAAAAGAAAAAAAAAAGTATTTTTGAGACAGGGTCTCTGTCGCTCCTGGAAATAACTATGTAGACCAACCTGGCCTCCGATTCACAGAGATCCACCTGCTTTACAAGTGCTGAGATTAAAAGGTGTGTGTGCTACCATTCCTGGTCTTAAAAATGTTTTGAGGGTTAATATACAGTTATTTATTTACTTGAGATGCTGGGGAGCAAATCCAAGGCCTTGGACTTGTTAGGCAAGTTCTGTTCCCTTGTTTTAATATCATAACTACTATTCACATTCCTTAAAGGGATTTTGAGTCCTTAAAAGCTTGAATGCCATTTTTTTTTTTTTTTTTTTTTTTTTTTTTTTTGGTTTTTTGAGACAGAGATCTGCCTGCCTCTGCCTGCTGAGTGGTGGTATTAAAGGTATTGCCACCACTGCCCAGCTCAAGCTTGAATACTATGTACTTTTGGTCTTTGACACAGGATTCGGTACTCAAACTCAACCTTCTGCTCTGACATCCCCAATACTGGGATTACAGGCTTGTATTCAATCTTGACTTCTTTCTTATATTTAAATAACTTTTAAAAAGAATATTTGGAGAAAATACTAAGAATTACTAACTAGTATTGCTTTTTTTTTTTTCCCAATTATTTAACTTTATGTGCTTTGGTGTGAAGTTATCAGATCCCATGGAACTGGAGCCACAGACAGTTGTGAGCTGCCATGTGGGTGCTGGGAATTGAACCTGGGTCCTCTGGAAGAGCAGTCAGTGCTTTTAATTGCTGAGTCATCTCTCCAATCCTAGCATTGCTGTTTTTCCTTTATCTTTTCTCAAAAATTTTGAGACAGACTGTCATATTCTAGCCCAGACTGGCTCAAATATATTATGTAGTTCAGGCTGACCTAGAACTCATGGCACTTCTGCACTTTGACAATTTAAAATAGCACATGAATTCTCAATCATCCTAACTCTGAGATTCCTTAGCATCTTCCTCCCTTGTGCTGGGATTAAGGCCTGTGCCACCATGAACAGCTAGATTTTAACATTTTTGCCGATTTGATTTTGTTCTTTAAAGTTTTCCTTTTGACATTTGCTAGTAAGTGTCAAATGTGATGTTCTTAAACCCACAAATAATAATAGAGTAATTCCTGAAAGCTTTAGGAAATTTTTTCTTTATCATTTAAAAACAGTGATCACAATCAGGAAAAGAACATTGATACAATATTGTTTCATCTTCAGGCCTTAGATTTTTAGTAGTTGTCCTGAATTGATAACTGCTCTTCTAAAAATAGTCGCTTTAGGAAGCTCAGTGATCTGTCTTAATGTACAGAGCTATGTAACTGTTACCCCAAAGTGTCCCTCTAGCCCATTTGGGAAGCACTGTGTGTTCCACTTTAGTTTGTAGCAATCAGTAATGTGTCTATATAGGGCAATGCTGCCTTTTTCATTGAAAATAGTGAATAAACACAGCGGTCAGGTAATGCTGTCTTTTTCTCAATGAAAGTGAAAATTTTTGAGTGAAACACTTTAGTATTTCTTTCCCTGTCTCTTGCCATCAGTGTTTCTGTGTATTGCTGCCCACAGGGCCTTGACTGTATTAGTAAAGGGCTCTATGTCTGAGTTAGGTCCCTAGTCTGCTAGAAAGTTTTACTATATTACTATAAAAGTTTCTTTTCAACATTTTTATTATTTGGGCACAGAATTTTTTCTTTTTCTTAAAATATTGTAATCATCGGTGTCTAGTGATATGCAGACTGTAAGCTGGACAGGAGACAGTGTTAAATTAATAGTCACTTGCATTCATTGTGGCCACTGAATTACTTGTAAAGGTTTTTTTTTTTTTTTTTTTTCTTCGAGACAGGGTTTTTCTGTTTTGAAGGCTGGTCTCCCCGACTCACACAGATCTGCCTCTGCCTCCCAAGTGCTGGGCCTAAAGGTGTGCGCCACCACCCGCCTGGCTGTAAAGGTTTCTTAAAAATCTTACCCTTTTATAACTAATACTAATGGCTCCTAGAGGAGAGCTTGCAATATAATTGGATCTAGGTACTTATAAGTGTTTGCTGAGGGAAATCAATTGTTTATTCTTAACCATTTCAGATATTTGATATATACTGTCCCAAGAGAGCTAATGTGCCACTCTCTTCCTAGTAACATTTGTTTTTGTCTAGATGAGTGTGCAGTGGAGAACTGTTTAAAAGTAGTATTGGTTTTATTTTGTATACATGTGGTATTCCCAGGAATAAAAAAAGAATGGGCTGAAAAAAGAGAAAGTAGAGTACATGCATATGCTGAATATTATAAATATATTTCATGTCTGTTTTCTTTTTTAGACTGAATAGATACACATAAATTACATATATGAAATTAATACATTTTTAATTCCAGTGAGTCTTGACAGGTAAAATTGTGTGACTACCATCACACTAGATAAAGATTATGAACACCTATATTACAGATACTTGCTATTTGGGGACATAAAACTTCATACTTAACAAATAAAAGTATTTTAAATCTTCTAAAAGTTAATACATTTTAGGCCAGGCATGGTGGCATACACCTTTAATACCAGGACCTAGGAGGCAGAGGCAGCAGGATCATTTAGGGCAATCTGGTCTACATAGTGAGTTCCATAACATCTACAACTATACAAGAAGAGAGACCTGGTCTTGAAAACATACAAACAACCTCCCAAAACCCCAAAATAAGAAAATAAACATCTACAAAAGAAAAACAAAAAATAAAAAAACAATTTTACGATTTTAGTCAGACAGTGGTGGCATATAACCAGGGCTACACAGAAAACTTGTCTTGAAAAACCAAAAACCAAACAAACAAAAAACCAACAAACAAACCATCACCACAACAAAAACCATTTTTATAAGTAGTATTAAAATAATTTCAGTATTATCTGTAGCTCATTAAACATAACCCTTAGAAAATCCTTTTGGCTATCTTTAAAATGTGTCCAGAACCCAGCAACTTGTTAACTAGTACTTTGACAACTTCCACCTCCATCAGGTACAATCTCTGGTTTGTATTATTGCAGTATACAAAGCTTCCAACCTATATCCTTCTGGATTTAACCGGGTGACAATGATTGAGTCAGAAACATTTCAGAATGTGTTTTATCCCATGTAAAGTAGTAGCCCAAACCTTGACAGTGTACTACTACAAAGCCCTATCCTTTTTGATCACTCCCTCTTCCCCAGTTAATACTCACTTTTTACCTGACTCAGTGGTTAGTCTCTTCATGACATACAGATGATTGTGCTGGTCTTCCTCAAAGGCATGTCTACCTTAGTCTCTTTGTCTTTCCATTGCTTGGAAGGCTGTTCCTGTGATGTAGAATAGGGCTTCCTGCCTCAGCCTCTCAGCCTGTTTCAGATCTTTGTTCAAATCTTTGCTTAGTGAGGCCTGATGACTGGAACTGAAAGTAAACCACTCCTAGCTCTTTTCCTTGCATTATTATCAACTTACAATGTCCCTAAAACTTAGAAGAAAGTATATTTTAAAGTTTAAATTTACATTAAAAATAAAACCTGGTACATTTTGGTATGGCTGTATTTTCACTTCACATAACAAAGCATAATGCTATTGATAATTTGAAGTGTTTAAAATAGACATTTATATTGTCAAAGGCATCAGGAATTTTTTTTTAATGTCCCAAGGAGGGGGCCATTGTCTCAAAAAAGGACTATTTGTAAATGTTGGCTGTTGACTATGATTTTTTTCACCTTGAAGTCCAGCCCATGTTAAGTTTTGAGCAGCTTTAAATAAAAGGGAGGTTATTTCATAGAAAAATTAGAAATGTATGCAGTAATTATATTGATAAACTTAAAATGTATCTGGTTAATTAGCATTTAATATTAAAAACTATAAAACATAGGTTAACTCCTAAGATGATAGCTTTACTTTAAAACTTTACTTTAAAACTGCTATTTATATCTAATACTGGTGGGAGAGAAATGACTGTAAAAATGAATATGGCCAAGTTTACACCATTGTGAAATTAGACCCTGGACTGTTGCTGGGATGTAGTAGCTGTTTAATAAATATGTCAATGAGTCCTCAGGCATTGTTTACTGTTCATTAATTAATTTATTTATTCAACAGGTACTATACCAACTGCCTTCCTAAGAAAGTGCTGAGATAGAGTATTAATATAATACAAGAGCTTCTGTAAGTAGGACAGTAGCCTGCTGTTTTAACAGACACACCTTCCTGCTCATTTTCATGCAGAACATTTGTAATACAGATGACTAAAAAACTCAATGGGGAAGGGGGACAAATGAGAACCTAGTGTATAACAACACGTGTGAAGATACATAATTGAAACCCATTACTTGATGTGGTCATTTTAAAGGTAATAATTATTAAAAAGGAAAAGCAAGCAATACTGGGAAATTGAATGCATAGTGTCTTATAAGTGTATATCTTTCCGTTGTAAGATATGCTAATGATTACCTAAGTTTTTAAAAGCTTTTCTAGCACCTTTTTGCTAGAATCATTCTAACAGCTCTTATTTGTGAATAAGAACATTTACTGAAACCAAAGCTTCTTTGTGGGATGGTGAGGGTGGTGGTGTATGTGTGTGTGTTTGTATTTTCCAGACAGGGTTTCTCTGTAGTTTTGGATCCTGACCTGGAACTTGCTTTATAGACGAGGCTGGCCTCGAACTCATAGACATCAGCCTGCTTCTGCCTCCTAAGTGTTGGGATTAAAGGTGTGTGACACCACCACCTGGCCCAAAGCTGAAATTGTATAGTTTTTTTAAATTACTGATTTGTTTTGAGACAGGGTTTCTCTGTATAGTTGTATAGCCCTGGCTGTCTTGGAACTTGCTTTGTAGACCAGGCTACCTGCAGCTTATATTTGTTTGGCTATGCCTTCTGAGTTGTGGGATTAAAGACATATGCTACTTCTGCTTGGCAAAATAGTTTAAAGTTATATTTCTATTTACTTATTTTGGGGCATGTGTTCAATGGCACATGTATGGAATCCAAAGGACAACTTGTGGGAGTCAATTCTCAGGTATGAAATTTAGACGGTCAGTCTTGGTTGCAAGTATCTCCTCTACCTGCTGATTCATCTCACCAACCCTTAGAGACTATTTAAAAAGCCAGAGGAACAGTGTAAGAAGGAACAGTGTGAGCATGTGGTATATGCTTTTCTATTTCAAAGATGCTAATTAATAGGCAGCTTTCATGATTGAGGAACTAAACTGAAATGGGTTTTATTTTTATTTTTAAGCCTCAGATTCTTACAGTTTATATATACTGGTGATAGAAATATAAACATACACATTAGTTTGGAAGGAATGATTTAGTACTAGTGTTTGGATGCAAAAGTGATAATCTGTATTGCAGAATTATTGTGGGCTCACTCAATGGCTCAGTAAGGTTGTGCTTGCTGCTACACCTGACAGCCCAAGCTCAATCCCACCAAGACCCAGGTGATAGTTGCCTCCTGTGGCTTCTCTGAATTCATACATGTCACACACATAGTCAAAACACACATAAATTCACACAAATGGATAAATGTAAGTTTAAAAATCCTAAATATTTACAAAAATAAAATTAAATGTCCAGGACTCTTCAGTGTTAAAGGACTAAGGCAATTGTTGTTTCAGTATTATATATAATTTACTATATTATAAAGAAAAGAACTGATATGGAGAGATGTCAGCAACAATGAAGGAGAAATGCAGGTAATAGTGAAATATGAATACATTATAATAAATCATAAGTTATTAAATATCTGTATATAAAAAGATGCAGAATACAAAACATAGCAAACTGGTGCCATTTGGTGGGTAAGAGAAAAAGTAGATGATACCACACTTGAAGTCAGGAATGGTGTTATTATTGAGAAAGGCTAAGGATGCTGTGTTTTATGCCAGCTTGGCCACAGAATGTATTAAACTGAAGAAACCAAATAAGTATATATACTCACTAAAAATAAAACAGTGTACTTTTGAGACAGGGTCTCATGCAGCCTAGGTTGGTCTCGTAGCAGTCTGGCCATGAATTGATCCTCCTGCCTCTACCTCCTTACTTAGTGATTACAGTCATGTGCAGTAACCTGTTCTAGGCTCTCTCAGTTACAGAATATGGGATTTTCTCCTATAGGTGAAATAAGTTTTGCTAGTGACTTGACAGAAATAACTTAGGCTTAGTTAAAAACAAAACAACACACACACACACAAAAAAAAAAATAACAAAAAAACTCAGCCATTTGGAATTATATTTTTCTTTTTTCTTTTCTTTTTTTTGAGACAATGTCTCCCCATGTAGCCCTGGCTAACTTGACTATGTGAACAATGTGGTCTTGCCTTTTTCCTTCCCACCTCTTTGCACCCAGCTCAGACCTTGGATTTTTGAGGCAAATCCTAGCATACTCAAGATTCTTCTGCTTCCAGTCTCGGATTGGGATTATAGGCTTGTGCCACCAGGTCTGACTAGAGGTTTGCTTTAAGAAAAATGTCTTAAATTGGGTGTGGTGGTATCTACCTGTCATCTTAGTACTTGAAGTGTGGCGGCAGGAGGGTCAAGTGTTCATAGTTGTCATCAGCTATAGTGTTGAAGGCCAGCTTTGACTATGTGAAGTCCTTGTCTCCAAAAAGAAGGAAAAATCCAGTTTCCTTATTACAAATAGTGAGCTCTTTATATGTTAGAGCAGTTACTATGTGACCTAATAGCAGGAATACCCTCGTTCCCCTTCGTTTGTAATTTAAATGACACATTTGTCTTTAAGAATTAGGTAATATTGAGTCATCAAATACTGTTAACCATGTTAGTCGAGCTTTCAGACAGTTATTGGGTTAAAAAATGAATGTATTAGAACACTTAGAAAATTAGCTACCCTCCTGGATTCTGAGTTTGTTTTAAAAGATTCATTGATGTTTGGCATTTAATTTTTTGATATTAACTGAACCTCAAAATTTTTTTCTTCCTTTATATGTATTCCCACATGATTGTAGGAGTCTATCCTGAACTTAGTTCGTGTACATTTTGGGAACTTATTTTAGAAAAGATCTAAGTTTTAAAAAATTCTCAATGGACAGACAGAGAAAAGAGGGTCTTTGCCAACTCCTTTGGGTAAGAAACTTTAGACTTTTGCAGATACTCTAAAAATGAAGGTCAACAATGTAGGCAGATCATATTGGAAAGGTTTCAAATAAAATGATTTGTCATTTCTTTCTTTAGACTGGTGCAGTCAGAATGTCTTTCCCCCCTCATTTGAATCGCCCTCCCATGGGAATCCCAGCACTCCCTCCAGGGATCCCACCCCCACAGTTTCCCGGCTTTCCTCCACCTGTACCTCCAGGTAAGTTTGATCTTGTTTTTAAAATGTTTTAAACCTGTGTCTTTGTCATAGCGATACTATCTTTGGGACATGATACATGTGGTTTATTAGTGAAGATGGTAGTCTTACTGTGAAAATGGATGTCTGGTTTTTCTGTGGCATTAAGTTGTCTGGGAATAGAATCTGTGTTGCTCCAAGTGTTTAGTAACCCTTCATGCTCCTGAATGCTAGAATTACAGTTGTGAGCCTCTACGCCTGGTTTGATCAGTAGATTTGTGTTTGTGCTTGAGTTTCTGACTCATTTTGGAAATTCCTTAAACAGTATATATTTAAAGGTGCTCTATTCATAAGGTTCAAAATAGAGAAAGATCAGCAGCGAAATTTCCTTCATGTAGCTACATCAATAAACACAGGTGTTGTTACTGCCTGATACTGCCAAACGGAAACAAAGTAGGTTTATCTTTCCAGATATTTTTTAATGCATTACATAAACTAATTAAAGTTTACATTTTTTTTTTTTTTTTTATCTTTTTGTGTGTGTTTTTTCATGCCTGCCCTTCTTTGTGTATCCCTGTCTATCCTGGATCTCACTCTGTAACCAGGCTCAAACTCATAGAGATCCATCTACCTTTCTCTGCCTCCCAAATCCTGGGATTAAAGATGTGTTCCTCCACTGCCCGGTTTGAGACAAGTTTTGAGTTGGTTTGGAACTGTGTAGTCTAGGCTAGTCTTGAACTCATTATCCTCTTGCCTCAGCCTTGCAGGTGACTGTCCACATCCCAAATTTCACCTCTTAGTTTTACACACAAATTCTTTGATGGGGACTGGAGGGATGGCTTTCAGGTGGCCTAGGGTGGTCTGGAACTTAAGCATGGATCTTCCTGCCATATCTAAGTGCAGGATTATATACTTGTTTGTCAGCATGCGTAGCTTTGAATATTTTCTTGTATTTTTCTTTGTAGCCTTGGCTGTCAAATACAGAGCCTTCTGATTATGTTCATTATTACTATTTAGTTTGTACTTGTGCTCAGATGCAAAGCAAGGATATGCCATGGTGGCCATGGTGTGAGTAACAGCTAGAAGCCATTAGATCTCTTTCCACCATGAGGTTACCAGGGACTGAACTGAGGTTGTCTGTCTTGGCAGCAGGCACTTTTATCTACTTAACTGTATTTCTAGCCCTGTCTGATTAATTGATGCAGGATCTTTCTCTGGAACTGGGGCTCTTATTTAGGCAAGGATGTGATCCCTGAGGATACATCTGTCATCTGTCTTTATGTTGTCTCCTTGTTGGGATTATAAGTACTGGACCCTATGCTTTTTTTTTTTTCTTCCTCTTGTGGGTGCTGGGGATTTAACTGGGGTCCTCATGCTTGTGAAAAAAACACCTTACTGTGTAAGACATCTCTCCACAAACACCTTACTGTGTAAAACATCTCTCCAGCCCTGTAGTTATTTTTAATTGTATTCTTAAAATGTTATGCTTTTTCACTCTTAGGCACACCAATGATTCCTGTACCAATGAGTATTATGGCTCCTGCTCCAACTGTAAGTATAGTTGGGTTTTTTTGTTGTTTGTTTGAGACTGAGTCTCATCTCCTGCCTAGTCTTGTTGAACTTTGGTCCTCTTGCGTCTACCTCTTGAATGCTGGTGTATGTACTCATGTCTGGTTTATGTGTTGGGGATTGAACCTAAGGCTTCATGTTTTATAGGGAAGTAGTCTACCAAGTTGAGTACCTCAACCCTGTAAATATAAAGGGGAAATTACGATTTAGGATAAAGCTAGTACTTTTTGAAATATAAAACTTTGGTAAACTTAGATAACTTAAATACTTGTACATATGTGTCCTAATTGTGCAACATTTGCATGCAGTGCTTCTTGGGGGCCAGAAGGTGGTATGAGCCACCCAAGTAGTTGTTTTGAACTGAATCTGGGTCCTCTGTAAGAGTAGTATAATAGTTACTTTTATATTGCTGAGGCAAAACTCCAGGATGAAGGTGGTTTGTTGAAAGGTTGATTTAGGTTTACTGTTCTTGGAGGGTTAGGGTCCATCTTGTAGGATATCATGGCACCAGATGGAAATAATGGCAGAAAGAGCTAAGAGCCCAAATTTGAGACTACCAGCAGAAAGAAGAGAGGAAACTCATAATGGTGGGAATCTTTAAACTATCAAAGCCTCCATCTAGAGATGTACTTCCTACAACCAAGGTCACACGTCTTAAACCTCCCAAATTGTTGGACTATATTTTGTTTAATTGCTTTTTGTTTTTGAGACATTGTCTTACTTTTTAGTCCTGACTGGCCTGGAACTCATTATGTAAACCAGGTCCTCATTGAAATGTTTCTTGTCTCCTAGGATTAAAGATGTGTAACACTATAGTTTTTTTTTTTTTTTTTTTTTTTTTTAAGAAGCCTCCAAATGACACTCCCTTTGTATTGTAGAATAGGGTAAGTTGGAATTAGGGTTTGGAGCAACTCTACCAGTTCTCAGTTTACCTTACTGAGTTTATAATGGATTGCTTGTCAAGTTCATAGATATCTGTTTCTGTATGTGGGGAAGTTGCAAGTTTAGTTACTAACAAGCTTATAGCACAAGGACCTTGTAGAAAAGCAAAAGTGTTGCAGTGTTTGAATATTGTATGACAGTATCAGCAGGAATAATGAATTTGTTTGTATAATTGTGATGAACTTCTCAATGTTTCCAATCTCATGGTTTATGTTTTAAACATTTAAAAAACATGTAAAAGAAGGTTCCACATTTTTGTTTCCTTTTTAAAGGTAATTAACAATGGACATTTGTGAAAACTAAGTTTGCATTAATGAAACATACTAGTAGGGTCTTTAATACTATGCTATATATTTATACTTTAAATTTGGAATTTTAAACAGAATGTCGTAATTGCTAGATCAAGTTTTTTTTGCCTTTCTTTACCATAGGTCCTAGTACCTACTGTGTCCATGGTTGGGAAGCATTTGGGAGCAAGAAAGGATCATCCAGGCTTAAAGTTGAAAGAAAATGATGAAAATTGTGGTCCTACTACAACGGTTTTTGTTGGCAACATCTCTGAGAAAGCCTCAGACATGCTTATACGACAGCTCTTAGCTGTAAGTTAAACTGTTTTCTTTTTTTAAAGTTAAAATTTTAAACTTACCAAAAAAAAAGAAGAAGAAGAAAAAGACTTAAGTGAGTAGTTTGTTTTTAGTGAAAGGCTTGCTTCAAATGGAACCTCCTGCTTCTGCCTCCCAGATAGTTGGGGTTAAGTCCTATACCTAGCTTCTCTATTTTTTTTCCCCCCAGAATTTTATTATGAAACTTAGCTGGGTGATGGTGGCACATGCATTTAATCCCAGCACTCAGGAGGCAGAGGTAGGCCTCTACAGAGCAAGTTTCAGAACAGCCAAAGCTACTCAGAGACCCAATCTTGAAAAAACAAAATAAAAGGAAAAATTTCAGATCTTCAGAAAAAAGAGCAAGACAGTAAGCATACTAGTATTCTTTGATGCAGATTCATCTGAACTTTTTTGTTTTGTTTTTTGAAACAGGGTTTTTCTGTATAATATCCCTGGCTGTCCTGGAACTTGCTCTGTAGACCAGACTGGCCGCGAACTTATATCCACCTGCCTCTGCCTACCTCTGCCTCCTTAATGCTTAGATTAAAGGTATACATCACCACTGCCAGTGAACTTACCAATTTTGTCTCTTAAATATATACACATTTCATATTTCCTAAATAATTCATGGATAAGTTATGATATAATACTCACTTTTGAGTGAAAATACATGTTTACTGAGAGTAAATTGACACTGCCCTTATACATAATCACAATGCCGTTTAACACTTAATACATCTATAATTTGTGTGAAGCCTTCCCAGTAATGACCATAACTGCTTTTTCATTTCGATTTATAATATAATGAATGAATTCATGGCTCATTTAATCATATACAGAACAAGCTCTCTGGTTTTATTTTATTCATTTATTTATTTTGCTTGTTTCCCTGATACAACTTCAGATCTTTCATAAAATGTTTCTCAGAGCTTGAACTTGCTTAGTATTTATTCACATTCAAATCACACATTATTTTACACAAGTGTTTCATGATGCCCTTATTCCTTGTTTTGGTAATGCTGAGTTCTTTAGTTAAAGTAAAACCCAAACTATAATAAGAGTGGAGTTTTCTCAATATTAATAATGTATGGATTAATATACACTTGTTCAGATTTTTCATAAAATGTTTCTCAGAGCTTGAACTTGCTTAGTATTTGTTCACATTCAAATCACCCATTATTTTACACAAGTGTTTCATGGTGCCCTTATTCCTAGTTTTGGTAATGCTGGGTTCTTTAGTTAAAGTAATCAAAACCCAAACCATAATTAGTGGAGTTTTCTCAATATTAATAATGTATGGGTTAATATGGTGTAATTTTTGTGATATTTAGTAAACAGTTAAAAATTCTTTAAAAGTGCTTTTATACCGTATATTTTGATCATTAGAAGATTTTTAACATAGGTGATGATGATTCTTAATTTTTTGCATAACAGATACAATGTTTAGGTATCTTGGTGGTTTTTATTTCCAATTATATTTTGATTATAGAGCAAAAAAAACTTCAAAGAAATTGCTCATTTTCGGGGTGAGGTAGGTTCAAGTCATGGTTGACCAAGCTGGTCTTGAATTCAGATACACATCTGCCTCTGCCTCCAGAGTGCTGGGATAAAACTGGGCCCCATTTTTGACTGTCTGCTTATTTTTATATTTTGCCTGTTTGGACCATCCCATCCTGTGAGTCACATTTTTTTTTTTTTTTTTTTTGGGGTGGTACTAGGAATAGGATATAAGATTTATTAATGAAGACGGGGTCAGAGATTCAGTACAAGAGAAGCAATGCATTGTCCAAAGGGACTAATATAAATCCTATATCACATTAAAACAATCCACAGAATAAACGATAAAAAATACACAACCCCCTTCCTGTTTTCTTCTGTTAGGCGTTAGTAAGGCTCCTTTTTCTTTTTTCTTAAAGCTTCGTGGTTTTCTTTTTTGGTTTTTCAAGGCAAGTTTTCTCAGTAGTTACAGAGCCAGTCCTAGAACTTACTATGTAGACCAGGTGTCTAGATCTGCCTGGCTTCTGCCTCCCAAATGCTGGGATTAAAGGTGTGTGTCACCACTGCCCAGCTCATTTTTGGTTTTTCCAGACAGGGTTTCTTTTCATAGTCCTGGCTGTCCCTGGAACTCATTCTGTAGATTGGGCTGGCCTCAAACTCCGCCTCCTGAGTGATAGGATTAAAGTGTGATACCACTTCCTGGCTAAGGTTTTATGTTTTTGTTTTAAGCAATTTGTTTTATGTCTCATATTTATGGGAGACTTCATAATTTATTTTAGTTGCTGCCATGATCTTACTAAACATTTTGTTTCTGTGGTGGTGGTATTTTGAAAATGGGTCTCACATTGTAACCCAGGCAGCCATTAAACTTGTTCTACCTTAGCCTCCTGGATTACAGGTGTGAGCTACCATACTCTGTAGCCTTTTAATTGTGATCTTATTTGTCTTGAAGATATTTCATCTTGTTAAGTGGTAAATTCTTAAATTTCTTTTTAAGAAATGTGGCTTGGTGTTGAGCTGGAAGAGAGTACAAGGTGCTTCTGGAAAACTTCAAGGTATACATATTTTCTTTATTTGTTGCTAGCACTTTAACCTCCTTGCATAAATCACCTAGCTTGTTTTACTTTAATTTTCCTATTATAATGTATTAAAAGAAATTGAGAAGGTTTTGGCTGAAATTTGGGTTTAAAAGATTCAAAAGTTGAAATAGAAATGAGGTAGGAGAAGAAAATTTAATATATTAAATTGAAGAAATCTAGCAGTTTCTTTTTAAAAAATTTTTATAACTGCCTGTAAATTGTGGGTGGGTTTCTGCATGTGAGTGCTATGCCCATCAAAGCTGGAAGAGATCCCTTAGAGCTGATGTTAAGCCACTTTCCAGCTGCCTGACAAGGGTCCTAGGAATGTGCCTTCTGTTACAAGTATATATATTATGTGTTCTAAATTGCTGTGCTATCTCTCTAAATCTCCCACTAGTTTCTTGCCTGTTTAAGGCCCATTTTGTTCAAAAGAAAGGCTGTCTGGTCCAGTTGGGTTGGTTAGTGCTTAGAAAGAGAAGAAAGACAAGCTGGTGATTTATTATTTACTTAATTGAGATTTGTTTTGGTTTTTCCAGGCAGGGTTTCTCTGTGTACTTTTGGAGCCTGTCCTGGAACTCACTCTGTAGACCAGGCTGGCCATAAGCTCACAGAGATCCGCCTGCCTCTATCTCCTGAGTGCTGGGATCAAAGGTGTGGGTCAGCATTGCCCAGCAAGATTATTTTTGTATATGTGAATGTGTGCCTACATGTATGTACCTCCTGTTTTCAGTTCTGCAAACACCGGAAAAGAGAGGCAAATCCCCTGGAACTGCTGCTATTCCAGATGATTATGAGATGTTAATGGGTGTGATGGGAATGGACCCTGGGTCCCCTACAGGGACAAGTGCTCTCAGTGAAAAGAGCATCTTTAGCTGCTCTTTTTTGGTTGTGTATATCTAGGCATGGTTGGTTTGTTTCTTAGGTCTTAGTTTCTCTCCACTTTTGAGTCTGTTGCTGAACTTGGGGTTTGTAGATGCTAGTTGGTATAGATAGGCAATTTGGCCAGGATGTCCTCAAGTTTGCCTCTGGGGTGCTGGGATTACTAGAGGTTATGGTGTTACTTCTGCTCTTGTGTGAGTATTACATATCCTGACTTCGGTCCTCACACTTCTATAGCAAGTGCTTCCTAGCCACAAATGGCCTGTTTTGAAAGTAAATTACTTTTCATTCTAGACAGAAACACTGTTTAACTCCGTCCTTCTTTCTTCTCTTGATGCTATGAATTAAGTATAGTGGTTCCTATGTGTAATTGTTAGTATTTAAGTTATACCTAGTCTTGATTTAGAAATCTGTTTGTCGTCCGTCTGTCTGTCCATCCATCCATCTCTGTGTAACCTTGGCTGTTCTGGTACTTTGTAACCTTGTCTGAAACTCTTCCTGATCTGCCTCTCCCCCTCAAGTGCTGTGATCAAAGGTGTGCGCACCACAATGCCTGGCCTTTTCTTTCTATATTTTAGTAAAACTTCTGAAACAAAATTTTTGTTTTGCTCTTTTTCCTTGTCGGGGGAAAGAAGGGGGCTATAGAAAACATATCCAAAATATAATAATACCTAAAAAGACTTGTTTTTTTCTTAGTACAGAAAAAATAGTCATGTTGTACAGTTAATATTGAAGTGCTTGCTTATGTTTCTCTAAATTTGTTCTTTGAAAGCTATTGTGGTCCTCATTCTTTCTCTTGAGTACATAGTTATGTAATACCATGCCCAGCAAATGCCTGCATGGTTAGAGCTTTATCCTCAGTCCTTTGACTTTTTTGTTTTTAATTTATTATTATTATTTAGCTCTTAGTTAAATAATGATTTACTTGATTTCAATTTTTTTCCTGGTTTATACACACACACACACACACACACAACCAGTTTACAGATGTTAAAAGCAAAATAGTTATTAGTGAGCTAAAGAGCAGGATTGGAGTAGTGACTTAAGTACCTTCATAAGCAATGTCTTTAATCATTTTATTTTGCTGTATTTTTTCACTTTATAATTATATATCACAAATTTTTGTTTATTGCTAGCTTTTGGATTTTGTGAGTATAAAGAGCCTGAATCTACCCTCCGTGCTCTGAGATTATTGCATGACCTTCAGATTGGAGAGAAGAAGCTACTTGTTAAAGTTGATGCAAAGACAAAGGCACAGTTGGATGAATGGAAAGCAAAGAAGAAAGCTTCTAATGGGGTATGCAATATCTTTTCTAGTCTGGGTATGCCTGTTCAGTGTGATTACTTCATATTGTAATAAATCTAATATGGGGACTCAAGAGATCATTATTGTATCATGTGCTTATGGATTATTCAGGAGTGTATTTTTATAGTTTGTAGATAAGTGTTTTATCTACCCACAGTGGGTGGATGACTGTTGGTTTGCTTGTTCCAGGTTGGGATGAAGGTAGTAAGGGAGGCTGGACAAGGTTAACTTGCCAGAGAAATCACTTGTACAGACTATTCCAATCAGAGCTAATTCATTAAGGCAGCTTTGTAAGTAAGTATAAAATATATTTCAACCTACCCAATGTTTATTAGTTACCCTCTCTTATAGACGCACACAAATTGGGTTTTAAAATGACTAAAAATAAGTTGTATTGCTTAATGTATTGGGGTGACTTTATTAAAGCCATTTTTTAGTTTTCATTTTAATTATTTAAAATGAGCACAAAGATTTTTGTGTCTTGTGTGGTATATGTTATCTTCACAAAACAAATTTTAAACCTGAGTATATATTTTGTCCATTTTTTTTTCTTTTGTCTTCCATACTCCTTACAGTCTTCCTTTCCATCTCCCACCCAAAAAAAAAAAAAAAAAGTCTTTGCTCTCATCAGACTTTCATTATTTTTCAAGATAGATATTAGCCCCCTTCACCCCCTTTATAAAAGCTTTATAAATTACATTTTTCTTTAAAGGTTTAAAAAAAGAAACTCAAATTTAAAGTATAGAAGGGAATTAAGTTTTTAGCACTTCAAGTAGTATAGACATTTTGGTCTCATGTTCCTAAAGGCATTTTCTTCTGTGTGACTGATGTAGTTTTCTGTTCCCTCCTTGTTTTTTCTGTCAATGCTAAGGGTCCAGGTCTCCTGTGTAACAGGCAAGCACTCTACCACTGAGCCATGTCCCCGCCCCATGAGTATAGCTTTAGTTAGAATATTTTCATCTCATAAAAGTAGGATTAAAGCCATCTGTAATGGTACAATTCCAGTACTTGGGAGGGGAAGGCAGTTGGGACAGGAGTTCAAGCTTATCAGTAGATATACAGGGAATTTGAGTCCAGTCTGGGCGATAAGAGACTATTAAATCAAAAAGGTTTTTTTTTTTTTTTTTTTGGTAAACCACTTTCCCCCCTGCTTAATTTTGTTTTTCGTTGAACTTCTAGTACTTAAATAATGTCACTGTATGTATCATAAGGTAAAATAACCATTGCTTGTTTGTCAGACCCAGTCTAGTGGTTTGGATTTCCTTCTAAAGCCAAGCCTGTGTTTTGCATAGTGTTCAGGCTTTGTTGTATTGCATATCTCTTGTTCTTTTGTTTTCTCTTTAGAAATTTATTTTTATTTATGTGTGGGTGAGTGAGTGTGTGTATATATGTGCACCATTTGCATGTATTTCCTATGGAAACCAGAAGAGGTTATTTGTCTTCTAGAATTGGAGTTATAAGTAGTTGTAAGCTAATATGTGTGCTGAGCAGAGCGGCAAGTGCTTTTAACTCCTGAGTTATCCGTGTAGCTCAGGGTGGCTTCATACTCCTTGTGTGTATGACCTTGAACTCTACTTTCCCTATGTATTGGGGTTATAGATGTTATTATGCCATTTATTGGATCTAAGATTTTTTTTAAAAAACTGTTTTTACTTGTGTGTGTACGTATGTGTGTAGGTGTGAATGTGTGCATGTAGAAGTCAGAGGATCACTCATGGACGTTCTCTTCTATAGTGTGTCTCTCAGTCTGAGGTCATAAACCTTTGTGGTATAGGCCCTTCTCATGTTGAGCCATCAGGTGGGACCAGCCCACAGACTTCATTATTTTTGTTACTTGATGTTTTTGGTCCTTATTGCCTGTCTGTGCTCATCATTAAATTTTTGTTCATCCAGTTGTAATTAACATGTCCTCTGATTCATATAGCTGTTGTTTGCTAAAACTTCCTGGAGAGACAACACACACTATCTCCTCACTCCAGATAGGAAACCCATGACAAACCAAAATTGAATACCACTGAAGTTCAACTGGTGAACCGATGAGTTTTATTAGGGTATGGGTATTAGGAGCATAAATGAATCAGAGACTATTCCAGCATGGGTGACAACTCAGAAAAACTGGGATTTGCACAGCCTGCAGGCAGCTCAACAGTTTCTAAGTGACCCTGGTCTGAACCTCTTCTGACAGCTAGCCTGGCTTCTGCTTCTTCAGGTAGCTTGTTTGGTCTGTATTTCTTCTTTTTCCTAGCTTTTCTCCTTTGAGAGACTTCCTTGCAGCTCAGCTTTCTATTCTGGCAGGGGAATCTGAGTTTCAGGAACTTCTGAAGCTATGTTCTTTTGTTAATCTTCGTATTCAAGGAGCTTCCCTTCAGGATGGAATGTTTGTTTGGAAAAAAACTTCACAGTAATTTTTACCAATTCTTTATTGTCTTTAAATCCTGTTTTCCTATATCCCCCCCCCCCAAAAAATATGGTCTCTAGTATTTATTGTCTCTTGTTTCAGAACCCATCACACCCTGTCTGATTCTCACATTCTGCCCCCCTTTCCATAGCTCTGATTTTCAGTATACGGGGAAATAATTTCACTAGCTTTGCTCTTGTACCCACACTGTCACCTAGAAAAATGTCTTCCAAATTGATAATGGAATGAATGAGCATTTAATTGAATAACCGTAGTAGTTTTGTGGTTAACTCTTGGTTTCCTCCGACTTTGAGGTAGAAGAAAGATTTAAAAAAAAAAAGTTTTAACGAGTCAAAGAGAAACATGAAACTGTATGAAAAGAGTGAAGAATTTTTCCTGATTTTGAGTTTTAAGAAAAGGGTTCTTGTAAACTAACTTGATTGAAAATAAAGATTAAGTCTGTTGTTTAGGGGTTTTTGTTTGTTTGTTTCAAGATAGGGTTTCTTCGTGTAACCATCCTGGCTATCCTGGGGTTTTATTTGTGGGCCACTCACAGAGCTCCTGCTTCTGCCTCCTGAATGCTGGGACTAAAAACATGCATCATCACCGCCTGGCTCTTTCCATTTTTTAAAGACTGGTGTTTAATAAAATTGTATTTCATTCCAGCTAACCAGTCTATTCCATGCCCAAGTTGCTGTGTTGTCTGTTCAACAACAATAAATCTGTAGAGATAGATAAACCTGCTTGATTGTTTCAAGCTGTATTTGTTAACCATGAATTTAAGAATAAACTGATGGGCTGTAGAAATGGCTCAAGGGTTATTAACAGTGGCAACCTTTGCAGAGGACTTAGGTTTGATTCCCAGCACACACATGGCAGCTCACAAACTGCCTATAATTCTAAGTCTGGGGTATCTGACACCATCTGCTGGCCTCTCCACCACAAGATTGCAAGTGGTACATATATATAGGCAAAACACCCATACAAATTAAAAGAATGAATTGGTGAGCTGGGTATGCTTGGTGAATGCCTCTAATCTCAGCATATGGGAGGGAGAGGCTGGTTGATGAGGTCACCTTGGTCTGTCTTTAAGTCAGGCCAGCCCGGACTAGCACCTGTCTTAGAAAGCAAAACAAAATAATGAGAACGGATTGGTGATGGTTAGAGTACAGAAAATAATCTTACAGATAAATTTGCTCCAGATGAACATCTTCATATAATTGCTTCCAAATTCATCTAGCTAATGTTTTCTTAAAGAACTGTGATTTAGTTTTAGGTTTCCTTGAAAAGGGTTTGTTTCATTTTATAAAAGTTAGTCTTGAGTATGTGCCTATAGGATTTTTCCTTTTTTAAAAAAAAAAAAAAAAAAAGGTTTCTCTGTGTAGCTTTGTAGCCCAGGCTGGCCTCCAGCACACAGAAGTTTGTCTGCTCTGCCTCTGCCTCCCAAGTTCTGGGATTAAAGGAGTGTGGAGTGTGCTGCTGCTGCCTGGTCAATTTGCTATTTGGTTTTTTTTTTTTTAAGTTTTGGTTTTTCGAGACAGGGTTTATCTGTGTAGCTTTGGAGCCTGTCTTGGACTCTGTAGATCAGACTGACCTCAAACTCTTGTAGATTTGCCTGCCTGTGCCTCCCAAATGCTGAGCTTAAAGCTGTGCGCCATCATTGCCCAGCTAGTATGCATTTTGGATTTGGAGGTAGAAGTTGAAATTGGGAAGTGGGAAATTGTTTGAAAACTCATCTAGAGCTTTGGATCAGATTTGGCAATCGGTCTAATGAATGACCTTTCTAACCCAAATTAACTTCTGCTTCCATGTTCATTTAATTTACTTTTGTTTTAATGATAACCAGCAGTCAGCTAAGAGATGTAACTTACCTTCCCTAGCTAGCTTTCTTTCTTTTTGAAAATGCAGATTGAGGGACAATCAGCCATTTGAAAGGTTGAGTTCAGTTAGTTTATTGTAAAACCTTCATGGTTATAGTTCTGCCAAAAAACTATATTTAATTTTCAGTTTGTTTGGATGCTAATTTAGAGCCAGTGAGTTACTTTTTTTTTTTTTTTTTTTGTATTACCAGGTCTTTGGATTTATAGCTTCTATTCTTATGGAGATTCTTGTGAGAAATAAAAATCAGGAGTGCAAGAAATGTCACACTGATTGTATGTTTTTCTTCTGGTTTGTTTATGTTAAGACCTTTGCACTGTGTAGCCCTGATTGGCCTGGAACTCACAGATATCCACCTGCCTTTGTTCTTCCCAAGTGCTGGGATTAAAGCTTTCAGCACCACACATGTCCCAACAATATACTTTCTAATGAATAGGATTAGATATCAGAAGTCAGTTTTCAGGGAGCTAGTTTTGATGACACCTAGCTGTAATCTCAGCATTTAGGAGGCTTAGACAGTAAAGCAAGTCGGCATTGTGAGGAAAAACAACACTAACAGAACACTCCTGACATGGGATCTGAATGTAAACCTAAGTGCTACTGGAGCATTCTCTTTCCTATAAAACTTTAAGAGAGCCATAGTATATCATTGAGGATTTTGGTGACAAGTATATAAATTTGAAGACCTTATTGTCCTTATTTCACCTATTTAAAATAAGCAGTCACCACATTGACTACATGTTGTTGATAAATAATTTTAATAGTTTAATTACAGTCTTGTGTAAAGCATCTTGTCTTTATCTAAGATGCCAAGTAGAAAATTGGCTACAAGAAGATTGGATGAAGAGGCAGGTTTGAGAAAGTAAGAAACTCTTAATAGAGTGGGTGTTATAATTTTGATACAATGCCTTGTATTATCTGTCATAACCTTTTGTTTCTTTCTGTATGTTCGTAAATGTTTATGAACAATGTTCTGATTTAAATATTTGTTTGTGCTTTATACTTTCTAACAGTGTCATACAGTGTGCTCTGAATAAGAATTTGTTTACACTAAATATTGGGTAATAAAAGGCTCATTGACTGTATACATGAGTATATTTCTAATGGTAGAAACAACTTACTGGTTGTTATGAAATAATTGGTAAGTTACAATTACTTAAGTAACCACAAAGCAAGAAATTCAACTTTAGTAAAGTTAAATGTGTTGTGACCAAGAGCCTGTTACTTATGTGAAAGCTTATGGTGCTTTTTCCTCTTGATATATTGACTGTTGAATCCAGTATAACACCTTTGGCAAGTTCTGTACCACTGAGCAATATCTACAGTATGGTTTTTGTTACCTGCAATTGAACTCAGTATATATTTACCAAGTAAATTGCTATTTAGGATATGTATGCATATAATTTTAGAAAAATGCTTTTGTACATGTGGTTTTTCATGTTTCTTTCCTTCTGTTCTTATTTTTCCCCATGTTTTGATTAAAAAGTGCAAGTGAGGGGAAATCAAAAGTTTTCAAGTTATAGTATGAATTCCATTATTAGTTTTAACTAAATTAACTTTATATCTTAGAAGATTGTTTATTTCTGCTAGACAGACTTTCTCTTTAAGATAGGGTCCCCTTATGTAAGGGAAGCTTTCCTGGAAGTTACGATCCTGCCTTAGGGCTGTTTTTATTTGTCACCATTCCAGCTTTGAGTAGAGACTAAATTACTTGCTTTTCACTTGTAGCCTTTGCAGAGTCTATCTGTTTTTTGAGGCTTTTATGTCTGGGTAGAAAGGAAGATAAGGTCTCCTGTAGTCCCTGCTGCCCACAAATTCCACATCCTATGTCTGTCTCCCTAGTGCTGCAAATACAGCCACCAACCATTATTGGCCAATAAGAAATTTACTTTCAAATGATTATTGTTAGAGTCTAATTTTTTTTGAGAAATATTAAAATAAGCTAATCATGTGTATGCTTTTGATTGACTCTTTTTGTTCAATTGTTTTTGAGACAGGGTTTCTTTGTGTAGCTCTGGCTGTCCTGGAACTTGCCCTCAACTCAAAGATCCACTTCTCTCTGCCTCCTCAATGCTGGGATTAAAGGTGTGCACTACCATTCCTGGCTAGGTATTGGTATTAATGATAACTGCATGTGTGACTCAGAAGGAAAGACGTATATATGCTATATATAGAACAATGGGAGACATGATTTCACTCTGTAGCTGTGGTTCTGAACCTATATACAGAGAAGTCTGGCTTTGAACTCAGAGATCCATTGGCCTCTTCATCCTGGGTGCTGGGATTATAGGAGTGCACCTTCATTCCTGGCCAGGTATATGTTTCTGCTGCACCATTGAAATTGTAGAAGCTGGGCTGGTGAAGTGGCTTATTAGGTAAGGAATTTTGCTGCTAGGCCTGTTTGAGCACCCAAGTTTGATTCCTGAGATCCATGTGGTAGATGGAAGTAGAGAACCAATATCCCAAGTTGTCCTGCTGATTTCCACATGTGTACCAAAGCGCACACACATCCATACACATAGAAATATTTTTTTTAAAGATGAAATAAATGTGGGGAAATAAGCCTACATTTTCAGCCAATAACCTTTCTAATATTTGCATTTTGTAGCTGTAGCTACCTAGTATTTTGTCTTTTCTAGCCTATACATATTCTTTGGAATAATGTTTTCTTTTTCCCCAAATTTGTCTTGGTTTTTTAAGACTGCCAGACCAGAGACTGTCGCTAATGATGACGAAGAAGCCTTAGATGAAGAAACAAAGAGAAGAGACCAGATGATTAAAGGGGCCATTGAAGTTTTAATACGTGAATACTCGAGTGAGCTAAATGCTCCCTCACAGGAGTCTGACGCTCACCCCAGGAAGAAGAAGAAGGAAAAGAAGGAGGACGTATGTGTTCTGACAATATAGTCGCTTCTTTTCTTTTTTTTAAAGATTTATTTACATATATGAGGGCTCTATTGCATGTATGACTTTATGCCAGAAGAAGGCATGAGATCCCACTCTAGATTGTTGTGAGCTACTATTTGCTTGCTGGAAATTAACCTCAGGACCTCTGCAAGGGTAGCTAGTGCTCTTAACCACTGAACCATTTGTCCAGTCCCCCAACATAGTCATGTCTTAATATTTATTCTTCTGAAAAATTACAGTGTTCCTTTAGAGAGTCAGGGATTGTTTGTGTCTTGAAAAGTGCTATAAACTAATGCTGGGCAGTGGTGGCGCATGCACTTGGGAGGCAGAAGTGGTGGATCTCTGTCAGTTGGTGACCAGCCTGGTCTACAGAGTCAGTTCCAGGACAGGATTCAAAACTACACAGAGAAACCCTGTCCTGAAACACCCCTCCTCCCCCCAAAAAAGGTGCTATAAACTGTACATATTGGTTATTAAGGAGTAGTAAAAGGTTACATTTTGGGTTTCAGTGTCTTTTGGGCATTTTAAGTTATGTTTGGCTAGATACAGTTATACTTAATTATTTTTCATTTAGTCCTAAAAGTGGGTATACTTGGTATGTTTATTGGGAATAATAGAACAAATCTTTTTGTAGGAAAGACAAATTTGATTTTGTGTATTCAAGTACATATCAAGTGCCAGATGTTCTTAAGGATGATTATTTCTTGCATCTTATAGATGTGAAATCGGCCCTGCTACTTTTTTTGGTTCTCTTTTTTGTGTTTTGGATGTTTTTGTTTTTTTTTTTTTGTTTGTTTGTTTTGTTTGTTTTTTTTTGTTTGTTTTTTTTTTTTTTTTTTTTTTTTTTTTGCTTCTTTCTATTTTGAAGACAGGGTTTCTCTGTGTAACAGAATTTGCATTGTAGACCAGTCTGGCCTTGAACTCACAGAGAGTCCCCTCACTGCCTCCCCAGTGCTGGGGTTACAGGTCCATCACTTCCTGGCCAATCCTGCTACTCTTTTCAGTTTTTCGAGACAGGGCTTCTCTGTGGCTTGGGAACTAGCTTTTGTAGACCAGGCTGGCCTTGAACTCACAGAGATCTGCCTGCCTCTGCCTCCTGAGTGCTGGGCCTAAAGCTGCGTGCCATCACTGCCTGGTAAATCCTGCTACTTTTAAGACACATTTTTTTCCTGTATGCTCCAGTATTTGGGTTATTGGAAAGAGTGCCTATGATGGGTAATAGATGAGGGATTTAAGAATAAGGAAATGATTTTTATTTTAATTTGAAAGAAAAATATTACAAGTAATATATTTTGTAAATGTGTAGACTGTTGAATTAATAGCATAATGTGAACTGTTTTTAAAAAAATCTTTGTGGGTTTCTCTGCAGATTTTCCGTAGATTTCCAGTGGCACCATTGATCCCTTACCCACTCATCACCAAGGTTCGTTTGAATTGTAAAATTTGATTGTTATGTGTGTGCTACTAGTTGTCACATTTGTGGTTTTTATTATTGTTATTACTATTATTATTTAATTTTAGATTAGATTTTACTGCCAAGTTGGTAGGTTTTTACTTAATCCTATTCATACCTGCATAAGATGCTGAATCATGACATTTTTATATTAATGTATGTAAATATCTATTCATTCCTTTCTATTTTCTTATTTTTAGGAGGATATAAATGCTATAGAAATGGAAGAAGACAAAAGAGACTTGATATCCCGCGAGATCAGCAAATTCAGAGACACACACAAGGTAGTATTTTTGTATGTTTACTTGATACCAATCTAGACTTTTTACAGAATCCAAAGCAAACAGACAAGAAAATCATCTTTACATTAGAGTATAATTTATTGCCTTTTATAGCCTTAGTTTTTACTGAGGTAAAAACAAAAGAAGACTAGCACCATATTTAAAAGTGGTCATTGCTTAATATTTTTCAGTCACTGACTACAGTCATCTCATTTAAATATGAACAGAAATTAATTAATAGATTTCAAAATAGACATCAGGTTAAACTATTTTAGGGGGCAGCAGGATAACCTACATCAGTTTAGTTTATTTTTGTGGGCAGTTCTTTAATCTTAGGAAAACTTTTATTAAAGAGCTGAGATTAAAATTAAGATTTATATTTGTGTGGATTTAAATTTAAGTTTGAGTGGGGGAGATTTTAAAAATAGGTCAGTGATTACCAGACTTAACCAAATTATAGATGCATGGAAGAACTGTAAATTCCCATAAAGCTAATCTATTCATTGACCCCCACCATTATGATAGAGATCATATGGTGACTAATGCAAGATGAAACTCTCAGCTTGGAAAGTAACAAGGAATAGGATGTAAGTATGAGCTTCTGTTTTTTATTATATTTATGGATGCCCCCTCAGAAAAATATGCAAAGGGGTAACTGGCTTGGAAATTGGTCTTTGTATATAGTAAATCCCACTCACGAGTTTTGCCTATTTAAAGCTTCTCTCAATGACAGTGCATCTGTGAATGTTCGCTGGTATTGAAGGTGGTGCTTTCGATGGTGAAATGCAAAATGCATGAGATGTATTTTGATGATAGAGGTAATAAGATATAACTTGTTCTGACTAGATTGAGAGGTACATAACATAATTCAGTGGTGTTAAGTGTTCATTTTTTCCATATTGAGTCTTTCATTGCTTTCAAAATCCCAAGTTGACAATTAATGCTGATGAATAAATGATACTGAACACTTAATGTCCAGATGCCCAACCATAGCTCACACACAGTGCTTTTTCAGGAATTAAATGCGTCTAAAAGCACAAATGTAACTCCCAACAGTTTTGAGAGTTACAATGGTGGTCTGTGGATTGTCATTGTAGAATACTTCTATGTATGCTCCGTATTCCGATTCAGGGCTGAGTAAGCTTAAAAATGGTATACAGTTGTGTGTGTGGTTTACCCCCTCCCCCTTCTGTTTTTATTCATTTATTTTAAACCCTGTCATGTTACTGGTAAATTCTGAGGAAATCAAGTTTGTTTAAAAAAAAAAAATAAATAAGATATTCAGCATTTTAAGTGTCTGTCAGGCATTTCATTGCCTCAATATTATTTTGATGGGAATGTTCTGAATAATCAAAACCAAAAAGGTAAAAACTAGTTCTCTTTGGGTGGTGTGGTTAAGGGGATATTTGAATTCTTAGAAATAAAAAAATGAGCTCAGTGAACCTTTGCATGTTTTGGTATGAGTTTATTAAATAACCACAGACTGTCAGGGTGTCAGCGTGGCAGGGGGCGTCCATTTACAGCACGGATGAGTCTGAAGAAAGAATAAGGTAAGAGCTTTGATTCCGCCCCCCCTATCCCAACCTCTTTCCTTTTCTCTCCATTACTTAGTTGATTTTAAGGAGTCACTTCTTTCCTTTCTTTATATGCATATACGATATATAGATCTGCTTGTGAACATACACGTTTCATATATAAGTAACTTAGCATTTATTATGGACTAGATTTTCTCACTTTTGCTTACATAGAACAATTAACTTTTAAAATGAGTTCTGAAAAAAATTGTTTTTACATCAGATTTAAGGTAGCATAGTAAACAACAGAAGTAAGAAATTGAGGACTTGTACAAAAGAAATTAAAAATCTGTAAGTATATATTATCTCCGAAATAAATTTCTTAAGTGTATGACACTGAGGTAAGTTTCATGTAGTCTAGATTGATTTTAAAATACAAATTTTAAATTCTATTAGGGATGTTCAGAAATCAGATTTTACCACTGTAGTAGCATTCAGTGTCTGACTTCTCTCTCTCCATGTCTCCTATCTTCCCCTTCTAATGTCAATGTATTCAGTATTGGCTCTGCCTGTACATTTAATTCAGCAGCTGAATATATTGATGCCTCACACACTAGCTTTTCTTTCATAATCCTCTGTCAGTTCTTTGGTCCATGAGCAAGAGAAAAAGTATAACAGGTAAGCCTGCTTTTTAAAGTTTTCAATGCTTTACATGACTGAGAAAAAAGAAAAATGCACATTTTGTTGTTGCAGTTCAAAATTCATTTCTGTGGAACTAAACGTGGAACTTCAAGGATAAATGTATTTTTGTTTTGTTTTACTTGATTGGGGTTTTTGTTGTGTGTTCTTTTTTCCCCTTAGTTTATATAGAAATCTTGTGGTACACTGGTAATCTTTCAGGATACACTCTTGGTACGACTGTTACTTGGTTTATTTGTGAACCGTGTACTTGCTCTTCCTCCCAGAAACATAGCTTGTAGGCAAGGTTAATCCAGTGTTGGCGATCCATGTCCTAGCACAACATCTGTAAGTTAACATCAGATCCTTGCAAGGGTGGATTTATCATTGTAAATAAATTTTTATTGTCTTACAGGCATAATGGTGGGCATAACTATATGGCTTTTAACTTTTAAATTAAAATGTTGCAGTATGTACATATTGCTTGAAGTGACTGGTTTTTCAAAGTTTCTGTATTTGGACTATATTTTGTAATGGTGGGGATAAATATTTCCATAATTAAGAAAAAAGAACCTAGCTGAATCAGGTTCTGATTCTTGTGGAGGGGGGGCCAACTTAGAGGACAGATGATTGTTGTATCCTTAGCTGACTGATTTCCACCTCCACTTTAAAATCCTCACCAAGTAGCCCGATGTCTAGGGTTATAATTATTATCACTGTTCCCATTAACTTAAAGATACTCATAATAGGCAGAATCAAGCTTTAGCTGATTGTCTCTTTAGAAATTAGTAGGAATCAACACATTCTTTGTGATTATTTTAGATATATGTAGTCAGTGACCAGCCACTCAATACAGTTTCCCAACCCCAAATTGGAGATTCCTGGTTTGTGTAGAGTATATGGTATATGGTTTTGCACGAAATCTAGCCGTCTGAATGTTTCGTTTTAATTTTTCAAATAAAGCCACAAGTATTTAAAGCTTTGGTGGTTTGATGCTTTTCTTATAAGTATTGGGCATTGTGCCGGGGAAAGTCTAAACAGTGGAGCCACAGAACTAACTCTAAAAGTACTTTTATTGGTTTCTAGAAACTGGAAGAAGAGAAAGGCAAAAAAGAAAAAGAAAGACAGGAAATTGAGAAAGAACGGAGAGAAAGAGAGAGGGAACGTGAAAGGGAACGAGAAAGGCGAGAACGGGAACGAGAAAGGGAAAGAGAACGTGAACGAGAAAAGGAAAAAGAACGGGAGCGGGAACGAGAACGGGATAGGGACCGTGACCGCACAAAAGAAAGAGACCGAGATCGAGAGAGAGATCGTGACCGTGATCGAGAAAGGAGCTCAGATAGAAATAAGGATCGGAGTCGATCAAGGTAAGAAGACTTTATATATATATATATTTATTATATAGTTTCTCATAGCTTTTAGTTGGTAAGTTTTCCATAGCCTGCTTATCTTGTTTATACACAGTAATATCATTGGTGAAAGCTATAATGTTGTCCTTGGTTTTGGTGTACAGGGTCTCTCTGTGTAGCTCTGGTGGCCTGGAATTTGTTACATAGGCTAAGCTGATCTAGACCTCAAAAGAGATTCTCCTGGTTCTGCCTCCTGAGTGCTGGGATTAAAGGTGTGCACCACCGTACCCGGCACATTTGTGTGTGAGTGATTTGCCTTCATGTATATATATGCACCAAGTATGTACAAGCCAGAAGAGGTTGTTAGATCACCTGTAACTATAGTTGTGTGCCATCACATTGGTCCTGACTCTTACTACAAGAGCAACAAGTGCTCTTAACTCTTAAGATGTCTCTCCTAGCCCTGTTATTTAGTTTGTGAGATAAGCTTTATTGTATGTAACCTAGGCTGATTGTGAATTTAACCTTTTGTCTCAACTTCATGTGTGCTGGTGGGCTTACAGACATGCCCCATCATGCCAGTTAGAATGCTTGATGGCAGGTCGAGCACTCTACTGCTGAGCTACATTCCCAACAACAGTTTTATGGAGTTACTCTTTCTCTGAGGCCAGTTTTCGTAAACCTAGACCCAGTTGGTCTCTCAGTGTTAGGGCAGACAAGTTCCATTATCTTTGGGTTGGTAGTCAGGTTTTTGCACTGAGAAGTCAGTTCTGCCAGTATTCTCTTGAGAGGTTGTGTGTGTGTGTTCACGCGTGTGTATTTGTCTTTGACACTGTGTCCATCTATATTTAGAGCAATGAGAACAGTATCTCACTATGTATGTAGTTGTGGCTGACCTGAAACTATGTAGGACCAAGATGGCCTAAAGGTCAGTTTGTCTCTGCCTTCCAGACATTAGGATTAATAGTGTTTACCACCATGCCTGGCAATATTCTTTTTTTGCAAATAATTATGTATCTCCACGTATAATCAGTCAGAATCAGTAGTTTTTCAATCTTTTATGTAATCATGTTTATTTTTTGAGGTAATTATTAGCATTCACTTCAGAATGTACTTCAAATTTTGTAGTTAACAATCTGCCTTTCTGTTTAATTCCAACATTGGGATTAGAATGTTGAACCTTGTTCATTGTAGACAAATGCTTTACCTGAGTGTAGTACCTTTGAGTATAGAGAAGTTTACAGTTCTCCAAAATTTGAATATTCTGACTTGTTCACATACTGATTTATAATACATGTCACAGCTTCTCTTGGTCCCTAAAGAAAAAGAATTATATAAAATATATTCTGTATTCTTTTATTTCCTTAGAGAAAAAAGCAGAGATCGGGAACGGGAACGGGAAAGGGAAAGAGAGCGAGAACGGGAACGAGAAAGAGAACGGGAACGAGAGAGAGAAAGAGAACGGGAGCGTGAAAGAGAGAAAGACAAGAAAAGAGACAGGGAAGAGGATGAAGAAGATGCATATGAACGAAGAAAACTTGAAAGAAAACTGAGAGAAAAAGAGGCTGCTTATCAAGAGGTAAACAGGAAATGTTTTACCTTGTAAAGTATGTTGTACTCACATAGGTTGGTGAGCCATGGTTTGTAGAATCTTGTGTGGAATTTTAAAGTTTTGAAAACTTTTTTTTAGCGCCTTAAGAATTGGGAAATCAGAGAACGAAAGAAAACCAGGGAATATGAGAAAGAGGCGGAAAGAGAAGAAGAAAGAAGAAGAGAAATGGTGAGATTTTAGGTTTAAAAAGGTGTTTTGTCAAATTAGAAAACATTCAATTTTACTGTAACACAGAAAACCTTATTAAAAATACATGGCAGCTTCTCAGTTAATACTGTTTTTGTTTTTTTCTTTTGGTGTGTGGTCTCACTGTACCTCTGACTATCTTGGAGTCCATGGTGTCAAACTCCTAGAGATAACATGGATATCTTATTTCAAACAAATTTGAGATCAACTCCATATACATTCCTTCCTACTTTTCAAATTGTTGCTACTTATTAGGAAAAATGTGTAATGTGATGTCATTTAAGATTCTAAGAATATGTTGAGCTTGCTTCCGATGGGTGAGTTGTCTGCAACTGCTACCCTAAAGTTCAGTCCCCAAGTTCAGTTGGGTTGGAAAGTAAAATTTGATGCTTGAAAGCTATACCCTGACTTCCACATATGTGTTATGACATCCACATGCACACACACAAAATATAAGTACCATAAAGTAATTCTTACAGAATTAGTCATTGCTGTTGTATGATTTATTGGGAATGAGTTTGTTGTGGTTTCTTTTCTCTCTCTTTTTTTAAGGCAGGATTTTTCTGTGTAGCTCTGGAACTAGCTCTTACAGACTTGAACTCATAGAGATCCCCCTGCCTCTGCCTCCCAAGTGCTACAATTAAAGGTGTGTGCCACCACTTCCCGCCTATGATTTATTATTTTTACTTATTTTCATTGGTCTTTTGCCTGCATGTATGCATGTGTGAGGGTGTCAGATTCCCCCGAACCTGAATTGTGAGCTGCCATGTGCGCGTTGGGAATTGAACCATTGCTCAATGCTCTTAACCTCCCTTTTGTTCCTCTTAACAGTGCTTTAAGCAGAAGTATGTTTAGTATTTATCAAGTAGTTTTCTTACGCTACCATATTCCCTTTGTGTGGTCATAGAGTTAGGTTTGTGTTTCATTTATACTGGATTCTATTAAACCTGAACCAGTTGGCATATTTGTTTTGTATAGTGGTTAAAAATTACTTTATTGTTTTGTGTGCTAAGGTGGTGGTGTACACCTTTAATCCTAGTACTTGAGAGGCAGAGATAGGTAGATCTCTGCAGTCTAGGCTAGCCTGGTTTATAGAGCTAGTCCAGGACAGCCAGGATTACACTCAGAACCACTATTTAAAAAAAATAAATGGTGAGAGATAGAATTAGGGGAGGAAACAGACAATGTTGTGCTTGTTGTGAACAAACCTGTCCTGTATAGCTGTGTTTTCAATATTGATAATGCATAAGAATACTGTTATGTATTTATTTATTTTTCCTCTGAGACAGTTTCTCTGTATAGTTTTGGAGCCTATCCTGGAAATCAGGCCGGTCTTGAACTCACAAGGTCTGCCTGCCTCTGCCTCCTGAGCTCTGGGATTAAAGAAGAGCAATACCACTGCCAGGCTAGAATACTGTTATTCTTGTCACATAATCTCCTTTCATTTATTTGAGTATTCATCATATTCCAGCCTAATGCCTTGGGGTGGGCCATACAGAAGTGATCATAATTTTGAAAAAAAAAAAAAATCAACAATGTAAGCAGATAAGCCAGTTACTGTGAAGTTGTGAATGTTTCGAGAAAGAGTTATGTTCACAATATTTTGGAAGCACTACAGAAGAATGTTCATTGTGCCACAGGAAGTAATTATTAAGGAATATATACATGATTCCTCTGGATGTCTGTTACAAGACTAAGATGGCTTTTGTCTATCTAATGCATTTAATACAGTCATATTGTTTTGCTTCCTAACATGTTCAGGTTTCATTGGAAAACAATGTATTGTGGAAATGACATTCAAATGAAATCAAAGGATATTTGTTTTTCATACTATATACATGGCTCTTTTTCATGTCTCAGATAGGTCCTGAAGCTGAGTTATGTACTATTTTAATAAGATAACTCATTTCATATGTGAAGTAATTGAGACATTGTAGTTTTAAATGCTATAAATAAGGAAAGAAAATACTTTCCTAAGGGAAGTACTCTTTTTACCCTGAGTTTTATATACTTTGTTCTTTCTTCAAAGGCTAAAGAGGCTAAAAGACTGAAAGAATTCCTAGAAGATTATGATGATGATAGAGATGATCCGAAGTACTATAGGTAAGCAAGTGTAAAATGATAGCCTGCTTATGAATATGAGCATAACAAGTGTCCTTAGGTTTAGAATCAATAATCCCATGTGTCTTTAGAGGGGAGTCCGTGATGGAGGGTTTTTTTTTTTTTTTTTTTTTTTTTTTTTTTTTAAGATTTATTATGTATATAGTGTTCTGCTTGTATGTCTGCCTCCAGGCCAGAAGAGGGCACTAGATTTCATTATAGATGGTTGCTGGGAATTGTACTTATGACCTCCGGAAGAGTAGCCAGTGCTCTTAACCACTGAACCATCTCTACAACCCTGGAGGGTTATTTTTAAATAACTATTTAGGCTTATGAATTTGTCTTTAGTGTTTTAAAAATTGTCCCTTCTGGTCCCTACCTACCATTTCCACAATTATTGATGTATTACTGTGTAGTTATGAATTGAACCACTTTGCCTTTACTGGATGACCCATTTTGCTTTGTAGTCCAGGCTGGCCTTGAATTTACAACTTCCTGCTTTGGCATACAGATTGTAGTTAAAGTCAGGTACATCACCCCCACTCATTTTGGTGGGACAGTGAACCTTACACATGTTAAACATTCATTCAATACTGTCTGAATTACACCCCCATCCCCAAAAGTCTTCTTAGTTCTTGTAGTGTCATTACACCTTACCTGAAAAAATACAAATTAATAGTTGTGGCTGGGCAGTGGAGGCACACACATTTAATCCCAGCACTAGGAGGCAGAGGCAGGTGGATCTCTGAGTTCCAGGCCAGCCTGGTCTTCTGATCAAGTTAAAGGACAGCCTACAAAGCTACAGAGAAACCCTGTTTTGGGACAACCAAAAAGAATTGGGAATTCACTGGAATAGATAGACACAAAAAAGCTGCCTTTTGAAAGTTACCTTTCAGCTTTTAGGCACATTAGAGTGATTTTTTTCAGAATAAAATGATAACCCATGTTTACTTGTAGAGAACAAGCACACTTGGATCTTAGCTTAGCATTCTGTTGTGTGGTTTCCAGTATTGAGAAAATGTACTGCTGGGCACATTCTGTATACTAGGCAATGATGTGGTTATTAAATGAGTCCTTTTACCGATGTAGGGGGAGTGCGCTTCAGAAACGGTTGCGTGATAGGGAAAAAGAAATGGAAGCTGATGAACGGGATAGGAAGAGAGAGAAGGAAGAACTTGAGGAAATCAGGCAACGTTTACTGGCGGAAGGACATCCAGATCCAGATGCAGAGCTCCAGAGGGTGAGATACTACTGAAATTGTTTGGTTTTGAATCACTATGTATGTCATTTTAAAGTCAACTGTGTTATATTTTTGTTGGTAGCTAAAGGGAATACACAATATGATTTTGGGACTTAGTGGTGTTATTATTTGGTAGGTTATTAGTACTTCTGTTATTTTTAGTGCAGAAGTCATTAAGTCGAGTTGAATTCACAGCTGTGTGTGTGTGGGGTGGGGGGAGGTTTAGGGGTGATGTATATTGTAGAAACCAGAAGTCAGTCTTAGGTGTCATTCCATAGGTATAATCTCCCTTAGTTTACTTGCGACATAGTCTTTCATTGTTGTGTTAGCAGGCCAGAGATTTGCCTGTCTCAATCTTGCCAGTGTTCTCATCACAAGCTCACAAGTGTTTGTGCTTGGTTTGGGTGTAATAGGTACTAGAAATCAAACTCAAGTTTTCATGTTTGTACAGCAATCATGCATCTAACAGAGCTATTTCCCAGGCCCTTGAATTCACATGTCAATTAAGTCTTCCATTAATAAAATTGAATAGAAAGCTGTCCTTACTATTTTCTTTGACTTGAAATGCCTATTTGAAATAGTTTTTTTTTTTTTTTAAGATGCTTTCTTTTTATAATGTATCACTTTAAAAAAAATAGCTTATGTGTATGGATTTGCTTACATGTAAAAAAAAAAATAGCATATTCCTGCCTGGTACCCTTAAAGGATATATTCTCTGAAACTGAAATGCCACCATATGGGTTCTGAGAACTGAACCTGGGTCTTCAGGAACAGCAGATGTCTGTTATCACCCAGCTGTCTCTTCAACCCAACAGTCCATTTTTAATCATAACAGACTGTTAGCAGATGTACCATGCTGTTTTTGCATCTAAGAGCTGTCATTTTTAAAACAGTTATTCTATCAAGTAATAATGGAAAGTTTCCATATTTTTACATGTTATATGCTTCAGCAAAAACATGTTCCTTTGTTGTTTACTGGGTGTTGGATATCTTGGGACTGGAGTTTCAGACAGTTGTCAACTGTAGCCATGTGGGTTCTAGTAATGGAACCCAAGTCCTGGAAGAGCAGCCAATGCTTTTAACCAGACCCATTTCTCCTGCCTCTATTGCTCAATTCTTAATCTTAATTTGTTTTGGGCCCACTGTTCAGATACATTTTTTTATCGACTATTTTACGTAAGATTTGTAAAACAAAGAGAAGAGTTACAGTTGTAGTCTCTGAAAAAGGTAATCAGGTGGGTTTTTGTTTTTGTTTTTTGGGGGGGTTACAGATGGAACAAGAGGCTGAGAGGCGCAGACAGCCTCAAATAAAGCAAGAGCCAGAATCAGAGGAGGAGGAAGAAGAAAAGCAAGAAAAAGAAGAAAAACGAGAGGAACCTATGGAAGAGGAAGAAGAACCAGAGCAAAAGCCTTGTCTCAAACCCACTCTGAGACCCATCAGCTCGGCTCCATCTGTGTCCTCTGCCAGCGGCAATGCAACACCCAACACTCCTGGGGACGAGTCTCCTTGTGGTATTATTATTCCTCATGAAAACTCACCAGATCAACAGCAGCCTGAGGAGCATAGGCCAAAAATAGGACTAAGTCTTAAACTGGGTATGTTAGAGTTGCCTTCCTTTTTTCGTCCTTTCCTCCAATGTCCCAACAACCTTCACTGTAAGGACAAAGAAAATCCGTGTACATGTATAGCTCCTTGGTAGATAGATAGCAAAGTATTCAACCATGCCTTTCTAGCTCACGATTGTTTTCGTAGTTCTACTAGTGCTCCTATATCTCCAGCTGCCTCAAGTTCTGAGAAGAAGTGAAAAGTTAAATTTTCTAGCACTTGTGAGTAGAGAGTTTTTGTTTTTTGTTTTTAAACAGTTGGGATCTTTCTATGAGATTGTGGAAGTATATTTGCACTTTATGAGGGATGGTGGGTTGTCAAATTTAGCATTTGAAAATGATGTTTGCATACTAAGATAGTGTTTTTAACTATAGGTGCTTCCAATAGTCCTGGCCAACCTAATTCTGTGAAGCGAAAGAAATTACCTGTAGATAGTGTCTTTAACAAATTCGAAGATGAAGACAGCGATGATGTGCCCCGAAAAAGGAAACTTGTTCCCTTGGATTATGGTGAAGATGATAAAAACGCTACCAAAGGCACTGTAAACACTGAAGAAAAGCGCAAGCACATTAAAAGTCTCATTGAGAAAATTCCCACAGCCAAACCTGAGCTCTTTGCTTATCCTCTGGATTGGTCTATTGTGGATTCCGTGAGTAGCACATTTAAGTGTTTGGGCTGGTTTTCAGTGTTACTGACATACAATCTTATTTGGTTTTAGTTATAACAGATATGATGACGTAGTCTCCTTGGCATGGTGAATCTTGTCCCTAAGTAGATAAGTAGATACCATGGCAGAGGTTTTTATATTTCCTTCAAAAAAAAAAAAAAAAAAAAACCACTTTATTGTAGCTAGGTGGTGATGCATGCTTTAAAATCCCATCCCTCAGGAGGCAGAGGCAGGTGGATCTCTGAGTTCAAGATCAGCCTGGTCTGCAAAGCTAAGCAGAAAAACCCTGTCTCAAAAAAGTCACTTTTTTAAATAAACTCACCAAGAATAACATCATACAGCTAGATTAAGAAAGCCATTTAAACCAGGGAGGGGTGATCCATGCCTTTAATCCCAATACTAGGGAGGCAGAGGTAAGCCTCTGTGAGTTTGAGGCTAGCACAGTCTATAGAGCAAGTTTCTAGACAACCAGGGCTACACAGAGGAACCCTGTTGAGGGTGTGAGTAGGGGTAAGGGAGCCACTCTATACATTTAATTCATTTGTAAACGAAGTTATTCTTAAGCCATGGAGCTTTGCTTATGCTTTGATATTTTCACTGTCAATTACCACACACACAATAATAAAAACACCATTATAGTTGAAATTAGAAAAAAATAGCTTTATGTCTCTCATCTTTGAGAATTTTCATATCTTTTGTCCTGCATTCTGTTCTGTAGTACCTAAAGCTACCTTTAAAAAAAAAACAAAACAAAACTATTTTACATCACTGCCTCAGCCTCCCTGCCCCAAAATACTACCTTTTCAAAATTCACCTATTTTATATCCCTGCTACAGCCTCCCTCTCCAAAAACAACTACCCCTTTAAAGCTTCTGCTTTAAATGTTCCTTCACTGTTCAACTTAATAGTGTTTACTTAGACAGTAAGCTAAGCAACACATAGGAGGAAGACAAATTTTTTCCTCCTCCCACTTTGGTTGACAGTACTTTAATGTTTTATGCCTAAGTTCATCCATTATCCTGCAAATTTTTATGAGGTTTTTTCCCCCCCCTCGATTTTGCTTTTGCTTTTTCTTTTCTTTTTTTGGAGACAGGATTTCTCCGTATTTCTTTGGAGTCTGTCCTGGAACTCTCTGTAAACCAGGCTGGCCTTGAACTCACTGATATCCTCCAGTCTCTGCTTCCCGAGCGCTGGGATTAATGGTGTGTGCCAATCAACGCATGGCTGAGTTGGCTGAGTTTTTCCTGTTTTGCTTTTTTTTTTTTTCCTCCTTCTTCTTTTTTTTTTTTTTCTTCTTTATACAGATTCTTTGTGTGCCAGATAATCTTTCCATTAATCTGCTGTTGAATATCTTAGTTGAGTCACTATCTTTTCTGTAGTAAACAAAAAAGGAAATTTATTTCGCTCTGTGATAGAGTTCTCTATATCCTAGGCATTGAATACTGAGTCATATAGTAATTGCTTTTATTTATTTGTTTATTTTTGAGGCAGTGTCTCACTGTGTAACTCAACTGTCCTGGAACTCAGATCTTCTGGGCTTGTCTCCTCAGTCCCGGATTTCATATCTGTGCCTCCACAGTTGACTTATTTTAGTCTTGAAAGTTGTGACTATAAGAAAAAATTTAGATTTTCAACAAGGCTTTGTTTTGCAGATACTTATGGAGCGAAGAATCAGGCCATGGATCAATAAGAAAATCATAGAATACATAGGTGAAGAAGAAGCTACGTTGGTTGATTTTGTTTGTTCTAAGGTTGGTCTTTTCCCCCTTTCATCCTCAACATTTATTGTAGATCCTTCCTAGTTTAAAAAGTAATACAAAGTACAGTGATGATTAAGTTTTAATTAAGTGACCTGTTATTTAAAGGAAAGTTCCCAACGTGAGTCCCATCATTCTACCACTTTGATTTTTGAGAACAGAATTGGTAACTGTTCTCAATTACATTTTCTTTTTTCTACTGCAAAGGTCATGCTACCCTTTTGTCTTGGGTTTGTATTTTCCAGAGGTAGCCAATAGTTGATTTCCTCAATTTCTTTGGCAGTCACCTATCTTTGGTGGCAGTCATGAATAATATTTAGGATCTACTGACTGGTTAGAGTTGTTGGCAAACACAAGATTTGTATTTTATGGGAATTTTTCTTTTAACAGTCTTAGGGGATACAAGTCTCAAATGTTATCCTTACTCTATTTATATACATGAAGAAAGTCAGCCTTATGGAAAAGTTGTGTTTTGGTATTTTTATAGACTGTAAAATTTTAAATTCTATAGACCTTTTGTTGGAGACAGGTTCATGTAGCCCAGGCTGACCTTGAACTTGTCTCTATTTCCTTAGTGCCGGAATTAATGACAGGCACCAGAACATAGAACCATCATTCAGCAAGATGTATTCTGTTGTATGACCTCAAAATATAGTTTTGTTTAATAAGGTGGTTATTATAGAGGAAGTAACATTTTTGTAATGGTATAACTGTGTCATTCTTCCACTAGTATTGCTCTTTTAATATTTTGAAGAGCAAACACTGTCTTCTCTGCTTGTAATTATACAATTAAGACTTGGATAGCTAAGTGTGGCAGATTTCTGAAATCCTAGCACTTGGGAGACTAAGGATAAGGATCACAAGTTCACGGACACCCTTTTCCACTGCAGGAGGAGTTAAAAAAGCAACCTATAAGTAATGACTGAACTGTCTTGAGTGATTAGGATCCCAGGGGGAAAAGCTTAGTCAGATGGTAGTGTTTTATGCCTTTAACCATAGCATTCAGGAGGAAGAGGAATGGATCTATGAGTGTACAGAGCATATTCCTGGGACAACCATTACTCTACAGAGAAACCCTGTCTTGACCCCCACCCCCAAAAACAAACAAACAAACAAACAAAAAAAGAAGCTTATAATGCCAGGCATGGTGCCCATTGACTTTAATCACTGCATTATGGAGGCAAAAAGATCTCTCTGTAACGTCCAAGCCTTCCAGAGCTAAACAGCTAATGCCTCAAAGTAGAGCAAACTTAACTAAGACACAAGAAATTTCCCTACCATTTAGAGCTTTTGTTCAACTTCATAGCATAACAGTTGTTTGTTTCTTTTAGGTTATGGCACATAGTTCACCACAGAGCATTTTAGATGATGTTGCCATGGTAAGTTAAGAAAAAGATTGTTACTTAAATATCTATAATGAACAAAATAGTCTTATAAATTTCATGCTGGAAAAAAAATCAAATTCCTAATTGCATTTGATTTTGTATTATGGTCAGTGGTTACTTGTATTGAACATTGTGATTTTATAAGCAGAGGGAGGATAGGATTTTGCATTTTAAATGAGAAAAAAATACATTAAATATGAAGAGGCAAAAAATTTGAGTGCAACTGATAGTTGAGTGAATGGACTGGTAGATCATTGAAGGTAAGTTAGAATTAAGCAATTGGGGAAAGGTTATTATCAATACAATGGTAAAGTACGGCTGGGTGTGGAATTGCACTCCTTTAATCCCAACCCTTAGTGGATCAAGCTCAGCCTGGTCCTCTTAGACTCTGTCCCATTTAAAAAAAAAAAAAAAATCAGTCCAAATGATGGCAAGTGCATATCATACAAGAACATTGAGATACGGATTTAAGGAAAATACTGGAACTAGATTTCAACATTATGACATGTGTATTCTTACCCCAACAAATAAACATACAGGTAATTTTTTAAAAGTTTGCATTAAAATAAAAAGTATTCCATGGGGAGGCACGTGTATAATGTTTACAAACCAACATAGAATTACTTTCTCACACACACAGGCACACACACAGATAAATGGGGCCTCACACATATAAGTAGATATCTCAGACAAATTGCTCACTGCTTAAGCATGAGTTCTGTACCCAAAACCTACTTAAAATGCTTAGTGTGTTATGCTCTCCCAATCCCAGCACTGGGGAGTTGGAAACAGCAGATCATGGAACTTATCCACTGTTTCCTATAATTGGTAAGTCCCAGGTTCTAGTGAGAGATCTTGTCTGGACTAAGGTCTTTAAGGAAGCAAGGTCTACCATTACTCTTAATAGCAACCCTGAGTGCCAGAGCCTGATGTGTATAGGCTAAAGGTAGGGGTAGTATTGGGAATATTATGTAGTAATTAAATCCTAGGTAGATACTGTATTCTAGAGACTTAATTCAGTGTCACAAAGCATTTGCTAAATGTTAGGTAAGATGGTGGGTCTGGTTTGGGATAAGTAAAATTACTCAATGAGGATATATTTAAGTTCTTCACAAATTATTATTTATATAGCAAGCTTTTGCTTTATTTGTGTAGTTTGGCGAGATATATAAATGTAATGTCTATAAAATTAACATGAAAAAGTATTTTTGGAGGCAAGAGTGGTGCCATATGCCTGTAATCCTAACACTTGGGAAGGGTGTGAGTAGGAGCTCAAGGCTATCCTTGTTTTTATTGTATTTTTGGGTTAGTCTGGGGCTGTGTGTCTAAAAATCAAAACTAGTAAACAAAAGTACAATGGAATTATATAAGAAGTCATGGTATTTGGTTGAATCATTATCTTTCTTTTGGTAACTTAAATGTTCTGTTCACAATCTTTCATACTGGACACTTTTTTTTAATAAAAAAGTCATTATGTTGATTGTGTTTGGGTAAAAATTTTCTTGTATGTTACTGTCGATTTGGCATACCACTAATTATATGTCCTACTGTTTTCTAGGTACTAGATGAAGAAGCCGAAGTTTTTATAGTCAAAATGTGGAGATTATTGATATATGAAACAGAAGCCAAGAAAATTGGTCTTGTGAAGTAAAACTCATTTTACAGTCAGAGTTACATTTCAGATTTCTTCTTTCACACCCTTCAAAGAACTTTGAATTTTGTGTCTTCAAAGACATTTGTGAGATCTGTAATTTTTTTAATGTAGAAAATGTGAATTCTTTTGTCCTCTAATTTGTTGATGCCCTGTGTACGCACTTGGTTGTAAAGTCCTCTGAATCCCTGGTTGTCTTTATACTCACCAGGTACAAATTGCTGGTGTGTTTTATAAGCTGCAGCTACTGTACACAGCCTATCTCATGTAATCTTGTTCTGCTGATTTGTTCCTTGTAAATATTGAAATGATTCCCCAGTTCTTTTGCAGGATTCCACCTAATATTAAAATTGTACTGTATAGGCACCAACGTAATAATTTGAATACTAGTCATACCTATTACCATCTCATCCCACTCCCCTGATCAGAAATTACAAGCCCTTTTAAAGGCATGGAGTTTAAAATTAGAGTGCAAAACCTAGCAGACAGTCATTCCTAATGTTTCTCTGTATTAATGTGTTTATGTGAGTGTATGTATAAAAGTCTTTTTTAAATTTTCTTTGGTGGGCTCCCTTAAACATTTTATAATTCACCAGTAGATTCATAAAGGAAAAGTGATAATTGTGCCAACCCAAGTAACTACTAGTATGATTAAGATGCGAGTTTCCCAGATCTTGGTATTCTGCAGTGAGTAACAGTCTGCTAAATCAGATTTTTGTTTCTGAATAGGATGATACATCATAGTCTTTACTTCTCCAATTTGATGGTTCAGAATTGAAACAGATTCTAAAGTTCTAGAACATTTTACTCAGTACATCTTCTACTTCATTTAATTTGGGTGTGTTCCTTTTTATAAAGCAGAATTAATTCCAAAAGTATATAAGGGTGGGTGGGTGAAGGAGCCCAACTTCTTTAAAACAAATGACCAGGGAGTACCTCAAGGGGAGAGCTTACTATGCTTAGCATAAAAGAGGGCCTGGGTTCTGTCCCTAGCACCAATAAATAAGGTAAGTTTACAAAAGATTTTGACAAAACATAATTGTAATCCACCATGGTAGTAAAGTGTTTACATCTTTTTTCTGAAGATTCATCATTCATTGCAGTTTCCTGCCCACAAATTTTTATCACTAGTCATCAAACTTTAAATATAGTGATGACTTGTTTAGAGACATCCTTGGACTTAATTTGTAATTCAGAAGATCACCAGGGGACAAAATTTATTTGAAAAGTACCAAGTTCTAAATATTGCTTATAACAAATAAGGTGCAGCTTTTGCCATGTTAGTTTATTAAAAGGTAAAGACTGGCTTGTGAGGATAATGTAACTGTGAGCTTGAGTTACTAAGGTTTTTTTTTTCCCCCCCTTAAACATCTTGAGGACATCAAAAACAATGTTCTTAATGTTGAACCTTGACATGGTTTCCTTATGTAAATATTTCAGTTATTAAAAATGTATATATTTGATCTTGGAGATGCTTCCTTTGAGTCTTGTAAATAAATGGCATTATGTTATAGTCGTGTATTGCATATGCTAGAAGACAACCTGAAAATATGAGCTGACGTCTTTAAATGAATTTTTATGGTATCAGAAGAGACCTTACCCTATTTTGAATAAGGCTATCATCCTTGAATATCTTTACATAGTGTTTGATTATATTTAAAAGTTTGGTCTCAAGAAGTTCCAGAAATGAGCCTTCCAATTATAAATCAATTTAATAGCCCTTTTCCAGACCCTGTTTAAACAGATCTGAAGGCCTTGTTTGTTTTTCTGTGTTCTGAACACATTGAACATTTGCTTTGACTTCATGCAATGTTTCTGTTTAGCCAATATTACTTGTAGTATATTCAAGTAGATTGACTTTGTTATTTTCTCAGATACCTCTAGAAACTAGAGGTTTTAGGTGTATATACTTTATACTGCATAGCACCCCCCTCTCAAATAATACAACAGCATTTCAATACTGATGGGGTGGTCATGTGGTTGGCCGAAAAGGTGGTTAAATTAATAGTTTAATGTACTTTAAGCCATGTTTTGCCATTAAATCTTATTTTTAAGTCACTTAGACTTCTTAGTTTTTATGATAGAACTGAGACTTTATATTGGTTGGTATTGCTCACACATGAAGGTCTTAAGCTTTTCCCTGGTTTTCCCATGAAATAAAATTTTAGTAGGAAAAAATAGTAGAATGTTTGAGACTAATTTTGTAATTACCAGGTGACAGTAGTGCCAACAGATAACATGGGTTTTTCTCAATTAAGATTTTTCAGATACTTGCACATTATTTTATCCTGTCAGACTGTATAGAGGTAACATATTTTTCCTTTAAAGTAGATTTTAAAGAGAATAACTGTTTAGTTGTCCTTTTTTTTGGGGGGGGGGAGACAGGTAGCTACCCAATCTAGTTCAGGCTGTCCTGGAATTTAGGGCTGCTTCCTTCCCTTGCAATCCAGAGGGCTGGGTTACAGGTGTACAAGCATGGTGATGCACTAGAAAAATAGTTGGCTGTGTACAATATGTTCTGCTAGTGAATATCAGAGTTGCCCTCAAACAGTGTCTAGGAGGACAGTGCAAATATTCTAGGCTCTATCCCAGCCATACCCTGAGGATGTTCTTTAGAGTTTTGTTATGTGAGCTTTATAATAGTGCTTCCCTATAAACTGCAATAGAAATGCTGATGTTTTCCTCATTGTAAAGTTTCAAATCATCGGCATGAATACCATCCAAATAAAGTTATCTGTATATATTTTTTTTAACTACTATGAAGAAATAAAATTGCAAATACATATAAGTAGGCATCCAATGTTTGTGAGACTTGGTTTTGCCAAACTTGATATGAAGGTCTATGACGCAGAATAAAGGTTTTATGTCAGAATGGCTATGGATTTTTCTGGCTATCGTAAAGCTTTTTTACTACATAAAATGTTTGTATTTGAATATATACCTTTAAATTGGATTTTTTTTTTTTCTCCTATTTTTAACTTACCTGTTTTGCTTTTAATTTTGAGACAGGGCCTCACTAAACTCCCGTAGCGTGGACCTGCTTCAGTGTTTTGGGTTTCTTTAGACAATTTCTGGGTTGTCCTGGAACTCTATAGACCAGACTGGCCTTGTTAGACATTTGCGGGATTAAAGGCGTGTACCACTGCCTACCTTCCCCTCCCTGAGTCTTTTTTTAGTTTAGTTTTTCTTGGGAGGGTCTGGGATACAGAGTTTCTCTATATAGCTTTGTATACTAGACTGGCCCTGAACTCAGAGATTTGCCTGCTTCTAATGGTTATAAATACCAACAGAAAGATAATTATAAAAACAAGAGTTTAAACGTGCTACACTATATTAGTTGGATTGATGCACTTTATATTCTCATACAGAATGGGAGTTAAAATTGTGTAGTAGCCAAACTTTTTTCCCCTTCCTTGTTGATGAGTTTTCCTATATAGTGCTGGCTAGTTAGGATGAGCATGGTGACCTTGAAGTCACAGATGATCCTGCTGCCTCACCTGTGTTGGGATTAGAGGCATGCCCCACCACACCCAGAAATCCACTATCTTTCAAATGTGTATGTAGTCTCAGTATTGTTTCATTTCTTTGTTTTTCCGAGACAGGATTTCTCTGTGTGATAGCCTTGACTGTCCTGGAATTCTCTCTCTAGGCCACACTGGCCTCAAACTCCTTTGCCTCTTGAGTGGTGGCATTAAAGGTGTGCACCACCACTGCCTGTTTTTAAGTATGTACTTTTTATTGGGATTCATTTAGTTGAGTCCCTTCTCCCTCGTCTTCCTTCTTTCTGTCTTTTTGTCTAGGTCTGGCTTGAGCCCATCTGTGTGGCTCAGGTTGATGTAACCCCCCCCCCCAAAAAAAAGTCCAACAATACTCCATTCTTATTTTTGATAACAAGGAAAACTGTAGAGTTCAACTGCTTTACAGTGTTGTGATATATATACCCAATTGCAGAGAATAATTAGAATTACTGAAGAAACATTTTAAATTTCTTTTGGCTGAGTTTATTTCTAGACAAGATTCCAAAGTATGGGAAAGTTTTTGATTGAAAGATAATTAAATATCTAGAAATCATGATAGTGTAACTGTATGTGAGTAAAAAGCAAATTAGGATCATATGCAAATATTGTGTGGTGCTTGGAGTCATTGGTAATAGACATAGCTTTCTCATTGACTAGGCCCTGGCTTTCAGTGATAACTTCATTCCCATTTCTAGTCTTGCAGGCTCCCTCTTAAGTAGTGCTTTCAGGTTCAGGACTCTTCTTCACTATTGGATTTCCTCACCTACATTTTGTTACTCATACCACTGTCAGCGTCCCCAAGGTTTTTTTGTTGGTTTGTTTGTTTGTTTTTTGAGACAGGGTTTCTCTGTGTAATAAGCCTTGGGTCTTCTGAAACTCACTATGTAGACCAGGCTAGCCTTGAACTCAGAGATCTGCCTGCCTCTGCCTTCCTGGGATTAACAGTGTGTACTTCCACACCTGGCTTTGCACAAAACTCACACAGTTTTTTATAACATGAGTGAACTATGATCTGTTGCATAACACTATTATTTTTATGTAACAATACTCCATGACCATCCTTGCACAAAAATGTCTTATGTTGAGATTGGTTCTATCAAACAGATTACAGTTAAAATAATGAGCAACTATACAAAGTGCTTTAGCCTATGTTTGTTTAACATATGCATTGTTTGTCTTATGTGGTCTGCATTATTTTCTGCATTCTTCCCATATGAATGGACAATTGGGGGGAAAAGTATATGTCTCCTTCCAGCTACCATTCTGCTGGTGGGAAAGGTTTGTATTAGAACAAGGCATCCTGGGAAATAGAAAACGGTAATGTGACTCTGTAGCCAAGTTTGCCCTGTAATCTGTTAAGAAGCCAGTCTGACCTCAACTCATTGACCACCTGCCTCCATCTACTTAGGCATAACTGTCGATAATCGTCTTTACAATTACATAAAATCACTTGGTTGCAAAATCAAAATAGGAAACATTTTCTGCTCATTAGATGCTTGATATTGGAAGACTTGAAGACTTTCAGTTTTGAGCCTAGAATATATAGGGTAGTTTCTCGGATTCTGTTCTGTGCACCAATCGCTTTGATTGAGGGCACAAACAAATTATTTACATTTTGGGGAGCTGTATAAAATAAGTACTGCTGCTGGGGTGTGATGACTTATGCCTTTAATTCCAGCAGCGGATCTCTCCGATTGAGATCAGCCTAGTCTACTGAGCTAGTTCCAGGACAGGCTCCAAACCTACATAGAGAAACCCTGACTGGAAAAATCAAGACAAATACAAATAAGTACCGTAAAGAAATGGGAAGTGTTCGGTTTTAAATGTCATCACAAAACGGGGCATCTTGTGCACATGCCCGTGGTGGAGGCAGAATACGTTTTTCAAGGCCATCTGTCTCCATGGTTTGTTCGATTCCAGCAAGAAACGCATGAATCTCGGTCTCAACCAAAAAAAAAAAAAAAAGAGGGGGGGCGGGAATGTCATCTCTCATAGCCTGGGAGAACATAAGACAGCTGCCTCAGATTGCGCACAATCTTAGACCGACCGCATTGAGTTCAAAATGAGCAAAGCCCACTGCAGCCCACAACCCTCGCGGTCTGCGCGCGCCGCCGGAAGCTCCGTCCTCTCCCGGGCCAGTGGCCAACGTCGCGGAGGCCGGAAATTACGACACCGATGAGGCCTCTAGGGCGGGGCCTAGGACGACCTGCTCTGTGGGCCCCGAGTTCTCGTCGGAAACAAAACAGCGGCTTCTAAGACGGAAACGTGGCCTGCGAGCCGGCTTCCTGAGCGCAGAGAGAGAAGGTGCGTGCCCGGGATGTGCGGGACGGACGGTGTCCCTGCCGCTGCGTTCGCTGGTGCTGGCCGAGGGCCGGGGCCTGAGTCTGCGGGCCGCACAGCGGGCGTCCTCGAGGATGAGGGGCGGGGTCCGACCGGGCGGAGACGGAGGAACCCGACCTGGGAAACGGGGGTCCGCCGGTTTCTCGGGCCCCGGCCATCGCGGCCAGGCTGAGAGTTACCCCCTCCGAGCTTTGGTCCGGAAGTGCTGCCTTTCCCGGGCGGCCTGGAGCAGGTGGCTGCCGTCCGCGGTGGCCGTCTGTACGGGAGTGGATGGAGCAGGAGATAGAGGAAGCGCCCTAGGCTGGGTCTGCTTGAGCAACTGGTGAAACTCCACGTCTCCTCCCTGAGAGTGTCCTAGTCCAGAAGTGAGTGGCACTCAAGGCTAACTTCTCATTGTCTCCATGGCTAGGCAGAGTCGTATGGCGCTTGTTCATCAGAACTGTCACGATGTGTGTGTATGCCTGACGCTTGTAGGCACCTTTAGTGTTTGCTTTTTCTTCCCTTTCAAGTGTGGCACTGCCATGGACAGACGTTTGCTTCCGGCACATCCGTCTGGTAGTGAGGCTGGAGTTAATAGGAGAACTGAGGTAAATTTTACATAATTAGCAGAGATGAGAGTTAAACAGAAATGCAGAAGAAACGTGAGCAGGACAGGTGCCTGATCGGTTCAGCTAAAGTGTCAAGATTGAGTTCAAGTTTGGAGAATGAGAGAGAAATAAGGAAGTTAGGAAGTGGTTTGGAAATACCACTTTTGAAGTGTCAGCGAGTGAAGATGGCCTGAGGTCAGAACTGTAAAGTGTAAACGTGGGTCACTTAAGTAGATTCACTACCTGATGTTAGAGTGGCAGTGGCGACCTGGGTGGACACTTTAGGAACTCACAAAGGGCCAGGTGGAGGGAGGGCAAGGAGGCAGCTGAGGGTGAGTGTAGAGTCACTATAGAGCAGTGTCACAGAGTTCTCAGGGAGCGGAAAGCATTGTCAGCCACTTGGAATGAAAGGCCTGGTGTAAGAGGATCTGAAAATTCCGATTGTGAACCACAAGTATCAGTTTTAAATGTTAGAACAGACACCTTTGTAAAGGTTACAAGAAACAGGTGAAATTAATTTTAATGATTTGTTAACCCAGTATGGCTAACAATTTTATTTTAACATCTAGTCAGTGTAAAAAATTAACTTGTCTTTCTCTCCAGATAGTAGACTCTGGAAAACAAGCAATTTCTGATTCTACAATAGCCTAGGCACGTGTCACAGTGTTTCGTTGTGTAAAAGAAACCCAGTTCCTCTTTGATGCAGAATTCTTGTTTGGTTTTCATAATGCCTTGCCCAGTTCCTTATTTAAGTTGAATAAAAGAAGAATTTAGGCAATGATAAGTATCAGAGGCTTACACGTTAATTAGATTTAAATATTCAGTTTTAATTAAAAATTAGTTGTATTCTATACATTTCCACAGAAGGTTGAGAAAGTGACTCAGAATAATCATAACTCCATTGTAGAGTTATTAACATAACATTAGGTCTTCATAGTTTGGTGGTGTGCATTTGGAGTCCCAGCTACTTGAAACCTGAGCAAGAAAATCAAGGCCAGCCTTGATGACAGAGATAGAGTGAGCGATTGAGATGCGTTAGTCCTCTCTGATCTGACTATTATATCTGTAGTCTATTTATAGGGTGTATGAATAGATAGGACGTATAGTACATACTGTGTATGTGAACATGTGTACTTTATATGCAAAGCTAGAGTGTACATACGAGGGTGCATGTATCCATACATGCAAATGTAGATGCCAGAGAAGGACATTGGGTGTTTTTCTCCATTATTTATCCCTTACATTTAAAAATGTATGTTATTGTGTGTGCAGGGTTGGGGTGATGGTGGTGGTGCCATGGCCATGTGTCTGAAGTGAGTTCTCTCTCCACCTTTATGTTGGTACTGGGAATTGAACATGGGTCTCCAGGCATGTGGGGCAAGTACCTTTACTTTCTGAGCTGTCATGATAGCCCCACCCCCTTTTTAAATTAAAAGTTAATTTTTAAATGAGGCGGGGTCTTTCTATATGGCCCTGGCTATCCTGGAACTCACTATGTAGACCATGCTGGCCTTCAGCTGACAGAGATCTGCTGGAACTAAAGGAATGCTCCACCACATCCAACTTTAATATTTAAAGACTTAATTTTTGCACGTGTTTGCATGTATTGGGGATCATGTGTGCTGCAATGCAAAGGATAACCAAAATACAACTCTGGGGACTCATTCTCTCCTTCATTTAAGTGGGTGCGGGGATGGCATTAGGTTTGTCAGATGTGTGCAGCAAATGCTCATCAGGCCTATACCTGATTTTTTTAAGCCAGGGTTTCTTTATTGGACCTGAAGCTATTTCAGCTAGGTGTGCTAGCCATCAGTCTCCTGGGATCCTTGTCCCTCTGCCCAGTGCTGGGATTATAGGCACAGTAGTGATACCTGGCTCTTTCGGGGTGCTGAGAGTTTGAGCTCTAGTTCTCTTACTTGCAGAGCATGTGCTTTTACCCACTGAGCCATCTCCCCAGTTCCTACACACTGTCTTAATGACTGTTGGTCTGTTTGCCTGTAGACTTAGATGTAGTTGACTTTTGTGATTCTAAGGCTCTTGGAAGTACTATCAAGCATATATATTTGCATCATATTGCTTTTACAAAATCCAGAAAACAACTATATTCTATTATGTTTAATCCTGAAGGTTTGAGATAAGAAATCCTCAGCTAATTTTAGGTCATCTTCATTGCATTGCAATGTCAGCCAGCATTACCTTTGCTGTAAGTCTCCATAGCAGACCTCCAAACCCAGGAGCTCAGAACATGTAAGTCTCACTCAAGGCTCTGCTTCAAAGTGGAAAAGTGTGTGGGTAGGTTGGAACCATTTTGATTTGAGCATCTTCTTTTGGGGCCCAGGTTGAGGGGACAAGGACTACCAATCCCTGCTAGCGTCTTAAGGCAATGTCAGCTGCATAAAAAGGCAAGGCCAACCAACCGCACAAGCATAGTTCACCTATCTGCCAATGTCCCTCAGCTAAGATTGCATTGATAGAAGCACACTCCAGGACCTCACCAAAGGCTTATAGAGTAAGTAGTGGATTTCACACATCACAAGGCCAAAGAGAGGTATCTGGGAATTGACCACCAGATTCCAAAATCTGAGGATGCTCCAGTTCTTATATAAAATGGTACAGTGTTTGGAACTGAGAATTTAGTCATGTACAGAGTCCTACACTTGATCCCTAACACTGAAGAAAAAATTCTAAACAAAAACATATTTATTACTTTAATCTACACATAAATCCTCTTGTATACTTTAAATCATCTCTCCATCAGGAAACCCAATAATGCAAATACTGTGTAAGTAATCATTGCACTGTGTTGATTAAGGAAGAACAGAGAAAATGACATGCCAAATATTTTCAGTCTTTAGTTGGTTAAATCCAAGGATCCTGAACCAGAAGATATTAAGGCTAACCATTCTTCCCTTGGGGATACTGGGGGAAGGAGAGAACATTTACTGCATAATAATTTTATCTACTACAGATGGTTCACAGCGATGGAGTGGGATGGAAGAGGGAAGCACCCTCAATAAGATGCATCACCACCTCTGCTCTTTTTAGTTCTGTCACTTTCAAAAGATCTCTTGGAGGACTGGGGAAATGATTTCCTCTTCATACCTTAGAAATCAAGGGTGTAGCAGGCTGTTGGTGGCACATGCCTTTAGTCCCAGCACTCAAGAGGCAGAGACAGGTGGATTTCTGTGAGTTCAAGTCCAGCCTGGTCTACAGCAATACAAACAAAACAAAACAAACAAAAAAATCAAGAGTCTATTTTGGCTATTCCTAAGTTAATTGGTTTTTATTTCAGTTATAGAATATAGTTTAGAATTCGGCTATATTTACTATTGCATGTGAGCCTTTAGAAACCCAAGTAGACCCAGGTTTGGTGGTAAAAATTTGGAATCCTAGTACATGGTAGTGGGAAGCAGGAAAACCTCAAATTCAAGCATATGGTGATATTCTATTTATGATGAATTAAAGCTTGCCTGAGGATTCAGAAAGCATAGTCAGCCACAAGCCTTAGAAGCCAGGCACACACCTTTAATCCCAGCATCCAGAAGCTAGGAGGTGGTGGTACACACCCTTAATCCTAGGACTCAGGATTAAGAGGTAGAAGGATCTGAGTCCAAGGCTATCCAGATCTATACCAGGATGATCCAGTCCTCAAGAGAAAAAGCTCACACAAAGATGATCTCAGCACCTGAGATCACATACCTTTAATTCCAGCACTAGAAGGGTGTAAAAGATAGGAGCAGAGTCTTCAGTAGTCAATATCAGGCATTCATTCTCGAGCCACACTGAGGATAGGAGGACATTCCTTCTCAGGGCTCTCCAACCATGGTGAGGAGAGGCAACAGGATCAGCCCTTTCAGCCTGAGGTAGCAGTAAGAGCTAGTGGCCAGCTACTTTGCTTTTTTGATCTTCAGCTTGAAACTTGAACCCCAGTGTCAATCTTTTATTTATCGTGTTACATAGCATATTGAGCAAGACCCTGTTTGAATAAATATAGAAATACTAAGGTACGTCTTTAATCCCAGCACTCAGGAGGCAGAAGCAAGAGGATCTCTTTGAGTTTGAGGCCAGCCTGGTCTACAGAGTGAGTTCCAGGCCAGCCAGGGTACATAGTGAGACCCACCTCAGACAAATGAGTAAATAGCCAAGGAGAGAGCTGAGCATGTGGACACTTGCCTAATATATTTGCTTCTCACCAGCCAAAATAAATAAATCAAAACTGTAATCAGAATTTGGGCTTGTTATCAAGGAGCAGCTGTCAAAATGACAAATAGATTTGAGTGGGGGGGGGAATGTGTGTGTGTGTGTGTGTGTGTGTGTGTGTGTGTGTGTGTGTGTGTATGTATGTATGTATGTATGTATGGCCCCAACTTTCATGAGAAAGCTTTAGTTTTCTTAACAGGTAACCTTGAGCTCATGGAACCTTCAGCAGTCTCAAAAATGTTTATGTGTATAGAGGTTGAACCCAGGACTTCTGTGCTAGGCAAGTACTCTGTGAAGAAGCTACCTCCTAACCCTTTGGGTGTTTTGCTCCCGGGATGCTTTTGAAGTTTTAATGTGTAGAGAAAGTTTTCTAGGTGGATAGACTTCATTCCCCCCCCCCCCATGTGTGAAGAGTTACATGCTGTATGCATGCTTTGTTGTGTGTCTGAGGCTGATTTCTGGACTCCATCTGAATCACCCTCCACCTTATTCACTGAGGCATGGTTTCAATCAAGCCCAGAGCTCAGTGATATAGATGGTCTGTGTGGCTAGCAAGCTTGCTTTGGGGATTTCCAGTTTCTGCCTTCTGTGTTCTGGAATTACAGCCAAGCTTTCAGAGCCACCCAGTATCGACGTGGGTTCCGAGGAATCATATCTCCACATTGCACAGCAAGCGCTTTCCCCTGCACAGACTTTGCTGTGGATTCTTTTCCCCTTTGTATATCTGCCATCCCTAGTACTCGGGATGGAACCCAGGGTCTGCACATACAGAGCTGCATCCCATTCTTAGTGTCTTTGTCTGATAGAATTGTAATTGTTATAAGAACAATGATTTCTTTTTCCTTTGTCTGCCTACGTTGTTGTGCTAGGAACAAGCCCAAAGCAGAGGATAAATTATTTATCAGAGCAGACATGATATGGAAGTTCTAGTAAAGAAATACACTGTGGGCAGAAGCATGGTATCCCTGAAAGGGAATGGCAGTCTGGAGACTGACCACCCTGGCCTTACCTTCTGAGCTATTTTTGTGGGGTTAGTTTGAGTAGGTGAGAGGTAGTCTACTTATATAAACAATTAGGAATTAGTCTCAATTGTATGTATAAGGTCAGCAGCACAGGCTCCATAGTTAGGATCTGATTGTTAGTGAGGGATTTGGCTTTTTACTTTTGGCCCTATGATTTTGGCTTCTTTGTCTCTACACAGTGTGTGAGAGAGATAGCAGCAAAATGCTGCAGTGTGTTTGTCTGTCTTCACCAGGTGTCCAGAGTGGAAAGCAACAAGGCCTACATCCCTTCTCCTCCTCCCTACAATGCAGGTCACTTTCCAACTACTGGCCTTTAGTGTTTATCCCGATCGCCCGATCGCACAGCTGAGAATGTTATCAAATTTGCAAGTATCTTTCTTCTGCCATGCAGCTAAACAGTGGGGCCATTGACCTTCTCCGTCACTGTTTTCAGCTGTTCCTGGAGCAAAATCAACTGTTTTGGCCTATCCCTCCCTTTGTGCCAGCAGGGTTCCCTTGACATGGCATGCCTGCTTCTGGGCTCCTTGTGAAGACAGTTCTATCTATCGGAGAGGCTGCTCTTATGCCCTGTGACCCTCAGAGCTTCTGGGGAGGCCCGTAACATCTCTGGGTGACGAGAAGACCCCTGGGCTCTGTGGTGCTACTCATTTGCTTCTTAACCTACACAGGCAGGTTCGTTTGCCTCCACCTGGGTTGTTTGTGACTTGTAAATGCAATCTTACGAGAATTTTGTGGGGTTATTGAAAGGTAGAGAAAGAGCTCCCTGGAATAGGGGGTGGGGGTGGGGAATTGTCCCTTCATGAGAATTTTATTGTTTTCATAACTTTTTGTAGATTTATTTTATGTGTGTAAGTGTTTTGCCTGCTTGTCCATATGTGCACATCTGTGTGCCCAGTGCGTGTGGGGGTCAGAAGAAGATACCAGATGTCCTAAAACAAGAGTTTTGAATGGTCATAAGCCACCATATGAGAGCCGGGAAACAAACTTGGGTCTTCTGCAAGAGCCACACATGGCCCTTTAAATGCTGAGCCAACTCTGCAGCCATGGGAACTTTTTTTCATTCATTTGTTTGTTTTTATTTTATGTGCACTGGTGTTTTGCCTGCATGTATGTCTATGTGAGTGTGTAGGTTCTCCTGGAACTGGAATTACAGACAGTTGTGAACTGCCATGTGAGTTCTGGGAATTGAACCTGGGTCCTCTGGAAGAGTAGTCAGGGCTTTTAATCGATGAGCCATCTTTCCTGCCCCCCATGGAAACTTTTAGAGTCAAATGGATAATGATTATGAAAAGAACTTTGAAAATAGTGTTGGGAATATGCTGAAATGATGGCTGTGTTATTGATGGTAAGAACTCAGTATGATTTCATCTAATGGCTAAACAGACTGTGTGGGCGTTAAACAAGTTAAAATGAGAGTTCCATCATAACTTGTCCTTTTAAAAAATAAATACTAGGACTGTCTGTGGAAAATATTTTAGACATCTCAGGTTTTACTTTATACTGAAAGCAGTTATTGATGTTAAATACCTTGTTTACTTGTAAGCAGTAGTTTTGCTAGTAGTAATAATTAGTTTAGTAAGCCTTGAGGTAGCGGCACATGCTTTAACCCTAGCACTCAGGAGGCAGAGGCAAGTGGATCTCTGCGAGTTCAATGCCAGCCAGGTCTGCTGTGAATCCAAGACCCAAGACAGCCAGCAGCCAGAGCTATATAGTGAGAGCCCCATTTAAAACAAAAACAAAAACAAAAGAAGAAAAATTAGTTTAATATACTCTAGTCTGAATTTCTGTAAAAGCTTAGGCAGGGTTTGGATATTTTTCTTTTTGAGACAGGGACTCATTAAGCAAGCTAGGCTAGCATCAAACTGTCAGTGATTTGCCTCCCAAGTGTTAGTATTAAAGTCACGTGTCACCATATCCAACTGTTGATTCTATTCTGAAATGAGTATATAAAGTGAATATAATAAATTAATTAGATGTTCTTACTTTCCATTTAAATTTTGCATGGAAGGAAGGAGAAAAATGAACATAAAAGAAAGTCTTCAGTGTTTAGAAATTTGTCATGAGAAGGCTGGGGTGTGAGTTGGTAGAGGGCTTGTCTAACTTGAGTGAGACTTTGGGTTCCATTCCCAGGAAACCCCTCTCTTAGAAAAGCAATTTGTCATGATTTCCATTGTCTGAATATAGTTAATTAAGGGTTAATTTGAACCCATACTTTACTAAAGGAGCAGGCTGCTTAAGTATTTTTTCCCTAGGAGAAAAAAAATAGACTATATATCTTATTTTTCACTTTACTTATTTATCTATTTGTTTATTTTGAGGCAGGATCTCTCTGATGTATGTATTCCTGGTTGTCTGGCTCTGTATACTAGGCAGACAAGCCTTGAACTCACTGAGATCCACTTGCCTCTTCTTCCCTAGTGCTGAGATTAAAGGTGTGTGCCACCATGCCTGGCCTGTTATATTTTAGAAGATAGAAGAGCCTGAAGTTAAAAGTGAACATGAAAACGAGGCATGGTCACACATGAATTTAATCCCAGGGCTCAGGCAGACTGATCTTGCTTAGAATCTCTGAGATCCACCTGCCTCTGCCTCTTAAGAGTGTTCTTAAGCAAGACACTGAACTCTGGATCTGCTTCTTCCGTCCCCACCCTCATCCCTGGGGATTGAACCCAGAGCTTCACACATGCTAAGTGTACACTGTCCCGTAAGGTCAGTGCCCACTCCCCTCTCCTGCTCTTATAAATGGTAAGCCCTCTCGGTAGAGATGGAGCTGTCATGTGGGGCGAAGTGAGACTAGAGAAGGGTAATTTTATGGAGATGCAAAATTAATTTAGAGATGCCAGCACAGGAAAATTAGTTTGAGCCCATGATGGAGCACACCTTTAATCCCAGCACTCAAGTCTCAGAGGCAGGCAGATCTCTGTGAGTTTGAGACCCAGCCTGATCTACAGAGCAAGTTCCAGGGCAGCCAGGATTATAAAGAGAAACCCTGCCTCAAAAAAACAATACGGAACCAACTAACCAAACAACAACAACAACAACAATAATAATTGAGAACATCTCTTAAAATCATCCAACTCCCTGGTCTGAAGTTAAAGTATTGCTTGAGGTCTCATTGCCGTACCCTAACACAGTAAATCTGACAGCCAAAGGTCGTGCATGGCAAGTGAACACATTTCTTCTGGCTTGTAAATATGTAAGTGAATGTGACTAATTATGAGTAGTTTGGTAAAATCCTATTTCATACTTAATCTAGGAACCAGCCAACACGTGACAACAGCCTGGAGGTCCTTAGACAGCTCGGCCTGGAGGAGAACACATGAGAAAAAGGTTTGTCTTTGCAGAATGTAATTCATGAGAATGTTTAAAAATGAGTAAGTAATCTTAAAAGCTTGAAGTTGTGTTTTGTTTTTCCCTTTTCAGAGTCCCAAGAGGCTGCATTTCCTTGGAAAGGGCGTGTCTGTACAGTTGCTCCAATGACAGAGATACCTGCACCCTTGTCCTACTTCCAGAATGCCCAGATGTCTGAGGACAGCCACTCCAGCAGCACCGTCCGTAGCCAGGTACAATGTGGCTTCTGAAGCTTTCCTACTGTCCTCCTGCACCTCTGACAGGTGCTGAGCCTGGGGCAGCTTTGTTTTACTTCGCTGATACCTTGATTTACTGAACACTAAGCTGGGGGTAAAGCATCATAGCCTTGGTGCTGGGGACTTACACATGGGACTGTTTTATGCTCATACACTGAGTGACTCCCCCCAGCCCATAAGCCTGTTACTACATGAGGGTTGAGGCAGGCAGCATGGGACTGTTTTATGCTCATATACTGAGTGACTCCTCCAGCCCATAAGCCTGTTACTACATGAGGGTTGAGGCAGGCCCTGCCTGCCTCATACCACCTCAGCCGAAACTTCTCCAGCTTCCTGAGGGATAAGGGCCTCATGATCCACATAGCCCTGATCCTACTCTTGGGAAGAAGTGACTACATTTTATTTTTCTAGTTTCTGGGCCAGTTTCTGACAGTGTTCAGTAAGTATTTAGTGACAGTGATTATAGAAGTCAAGGTAAAGCATCAAAGTTCTGGGGTCAAGATAAGGCTGTGATACATGGGACAGTATACAAACACTTCACAGACTACATGCACACACAGAAATCTGTCTGCTGAAACCATTAGCTAGCCATTGCTGACCACGTGCAGACTCCACAGGAGCCTGGGAAGTGACGAGGGAATTGGTAGAATTTCCTGAGATACAGCCAGGATGGAGGAAGACCTTGACTGGGCCAGTCTAATTTCTGCAAGGCTGGCCTTGGAGTCTTGTGTACTCACTACTAAAAGCTGTCATTAGAGGCAAGTCACAAATGAGTATTAGGGACCAGGAGAGATGGCTCAGGGGCTCAGAGCAATGCTTGCTCTCCCAGAGGACCCAAGGTTCCCTGCATCGACATAAAATGGCTCACAACTGCCTATTAACCCCAGCTCCAGGATCCGATGTCCTCTTCTGGTGTCTGAGGGTACCTGTGTGTGCACAAGCATGCATGCACATACACAAACGAGGCTCAAGAATTTCTTCTGTCCTTTGTAATCCTGTTAGCTAATCATTGTTGACTGAGTTCCACAGTAAGTTGACAGATTCCACAGTAAGCCTCAAGATATAGGATTCCTCATCTTCCTATCAGTAAAGTTAGATGATTTACTAAATTGTCTCACTTATCTTCTAACTTAAATGTTTTGGTAGGACGAAGGGTTTGGATAGCCTGATACTAGAAAGTAGGACTTTGAGTTTTGAAATTATTATAATCCTAAACAAATAGTTTCAAGATTGGTTACTCTTACCACAAGTAGAATGAATTGAAGTAATTTTAGCTGTGTGTTTATGGACTGCAGACTAGAAGGCGGTCTAATTAAATAATGGTTTGTCTATTTTTGAAAAAAGGGCAAGGTTTAAAAAGCTATAAATGACTAAGGTCTTTGTGTTCTAAGTTACCATATAAATTAGGTATTCAAGGAGCGCTAATAAGTACGGAGTACTTGACTATAGTTTGGAGAAACAGTTGGTAATTATCGTGTTCTTTGAGGCACAGTCCTGTGATAGAGTTCAGGCTGGCTTTAGCTTTGCCATTCTTCTGCTGCAGCTACTTAAATGCAGGGATTATAGATATTCATCATAATACCTGACTCTGATTTTTTACTTTTTTTTTTTTTTTTTTTTTTTTTAAGTTTTTGTTGGTTTGTTTTTTGAGACCTCTATGTATCCCTGTCTTGGAACTCCATAGACCAGGCTGGCCTCAAACTCACAGAGATCCTCCTGTGTCTGCCTCCAATTAAAGGCATGCACCACCACTGCCCAGCCCTTTTTTACTTTTCTAAAGCAATGTGTTTGAAGCCTAAAGCTAGGCACTTTATGTTGTTATTTATGCCTTGTAGAATAGGTTACAGCACTGGTCTTCAAATGTTAGTGTACCTTGGAGTCCCTTAATCTGTCATTCTCTGACTCCCGACCTTCATGGTTTCTAAGTTTTGTAAGTCTGGATTGGGCCAGAATTTGCATTTTTGACCAATAACCTTATCTTGCCGATGCTTCTGCTCCAGGGACCATAGTTCGGGAACAGCTGTGTACTGTGAAGAGGTAAAAGAAAGGTGAAGTAAGAGGAAGAAGGATTAGATTAGATTTAATTAATGTGTTTTTGCTCACATTTTCTAGTCCTTAAGAAAAGTCTTCAACTGATTATTTACAATCAGTAATTTGTTAGCTAAAAAGAAGCCTTAAAATAGAAATAATTGAAAGACCAAAATGTTTGTCTGTATAAAAGCAGTTGCTGAGGGTTCCCTGGGGATGTCATATAGCAGGGGTGGGGTGATTGCTTAGCATACAGGACAGGAAGCTCTAAGTTCACTCTTCCCTGCCACCACCAAAGGCCAGTAAAAAGTAGTCACTGAAGAGCATCTGTACCTCTGCAGCCTTAGGCTTCAAGAAAAGGCAATGCAGTGGTGGCTCACGCCTTTAATCCTACCCCCCATCCCCCACCCCCATCCCCCGGGAGGCAGAGGCAGGAGGATCTCTGAGTTTGAGGACAGCCAGTTTCAGGACAGCCAGGGCTACACAAAGAAACCCTGTCTCAGGAAAAAAACAACCTTCAATTGATTTAATTGATTTTTCTAGATTGTAAAATATTAAATGCAGAGAGCCTTAGTAAATTGTTAGCAAGTATAGCAGGCTTTCTTTTGGGCCACTAATCAGCTCCAAATTATGACAGAGACTTATAATTAGTTATGAATACTTCACCTTAGCTTATGCTTATTTCTAGCTAGCTTTTTTTTTTTTTTTTAAAGTTAACCTGTTTGACATCATCTTTGTTTTCTTTCTGTATGTCCTTCTCTGTGTCTGTTGACTGGCTCCAGGCGTCTTCCTTTCTGTCTTCCTAATTCTTTCCTCTATTCTCTTTTTGAGCCTAGATTTCTCCTCTTATTTATTCTCTTTCTCTGTGAGCCAGCCCTGGCTATCCTACTGCCTAGCTTTTTATTAGATGAATCAGGTGCCTCCTGCAGGCAAGGTAAAACAACAACATATCCTTACATTGTTAACAAATGCCGCATCAACAAATGTAACACACCTTTACACATTAAAGTAATATTTCACAGCATAAACAAATGTAACACATCTTTACATAGTTAAATATTCCACAACAAGCAAGTTGTAGAATGGTTTCATTTTCTGAATGACACTGGATCACTTTTAAAATTTATTTTTAATTAGCTGTTTTGAGACATGGTCTTTCTATATAGCCCTAGCTGGCCTAGAACTTGTTATATGGGCCAAGCTGGACTGGAACTCATGGAGAGCCACTTGCCACTATACATCCTTACCATCATTTTTAATGTGAAAAATTTATTTATTTATAAAATTATAAACTTAAACATAGAATGGAGCTTGATGTGGCTCAGTGGTAGAGTATATACTTAAACATGGTCAGGCTTCCATTGCCACCACCAAAAGTTAAACTCAGGTGAAAGAGCCTGTCAGTATAAACGTGTATAAAATGCCAAAGGATGAACAAAAAGAGGGAAGGAAGGAGAGAAACCTGTAAGCTATAATTTAAAGTGAAGAGAAAGAAGTTCATAAAATGGTGATCTAAGTATGAACTGAGTCATACCCCAGGCCAAGTCAGCCTTTGATAATTGTTCTATTTATCATAATAAATTTGTTTTCCCAATTAGGTCAAAGTGAAGTAAGGGGGTAAAAAACAAACTGGAAAATCTCTAGAATGTCATAGTGTTTGCATGACAGTAAGGTTGGGAACCTTTGTCACAGATCTTAATAATTTGTGAAGAAACTCTAGACTTAAGACTAACACACAGCCCCAAAACTCTTAAGTGGAAATGTCCTCATTTACCTTGGGTAAATGCTTAAGGGGAGAACATAACCAAGTATTGCAGGTTGTATTTAGCTTCTTGAGTTTTCCAAATTGGTTACCATAAAAATTTATGAGAGTCCCAGTGTGTCCCATCCTTGCCTACACTCCAGGGTTAGAGGCCTAAGCTTTGCAGTCCTTTTAAAAGGTACGTGGTAATATTTCCTTGTGACTTTAATTTTCATATCTCTAGTGAACAATGGTGTTGAATGTTTTTGGTTGTCATACTGGTGGAACTTTCTCTGGTTAAGTGTTAAAATTTGTTTCCTATTTTTAAATTGTTAGGTGGTTGGACTTTGGTTTTTTGAGTAAATTGTTTTCTTATTACTAAGTTGTGAAAACTCTTTGTATTCTGGATATGTAAATTACAATATATATACCTTGAAAATATTTTTTTCTAATCTTGGGCTTCTCTTGTTATTAATGATATATATATGCACACATACACACACATATATATATTTTTTAATATGGTTTTTGTTTTTTTTGGTTTTTTTTTTTTTTTTTTTTTTTTTTTTTTTTTGTATGTTATATGAGAAATCTTACCCTGTCCCAAGAAGTTTGTGAAATTTTTTCTCTCTAGTTTTACGTTTATCTGTTATTGGGCATTATGGTGCACACTTTCAGTCTCAACTGCTTATTTGGGAAGCTGAGGCAGAAGCATCACTTGAGGCAAGCCTAGACAACCCACGTTCAAAGACAACTTTCCTTTTGCTGTGTGATGCAGTGGACGTTGGTTTTGTGTAGGGTAATGCAGTGTGGGTCATTGTTTATTTTCCTGCAAATGAACATCAGGTGTGTCAGGACTGGGTTTGTTTTGTTTGTTTGTTTGTTTGTTTGTTGTTGTTGTTTTCCTGGCTGTCCTGGAACTTGCTCTATAGGAACAGGCTGGCTTCGAACTCACAGAGATCCACCTGCTTCTGTCTCCCGAGTGCTGGGTTCAAAGGCGTGCGCCACTACCGCCCAGCAGCACTGTTTTGAAGGAGACTGTCTGCTGTAAAGTGTCTTTGGACCCTAAATTCTGGGCTCTGTTCTGTCCCATTGGTCACGTTGTCTTTGAACCAGTGACACATATCCACTATTACTGTAATTGTATATTACATTTTGATATCACTACTTAAAAAACTTTTTTTTTTAATTTTTACTTTTCATATCA